ATATCTAAACGCTATTGACTGGATCAGCTTAGAGGGGACGAGTTAAACAGTGAAAAGTATAAATTTTTTCTACTGTGTTGTAAAAATTTTTCTATTTAATAAAGTTATCATTATAAACATTTCTTCATCGTGAAGTACTCAATAAATGCTTTTTTTGTTCCAAAATCTCAATTACGAGCTCTAAAAATTCCTCTTCACTGTAACATCTTATTTTTTAAAAAATTTTAGTTTGCCACGGTTTTTTTAACGTGCACTGAGTGAACGAAAATCATTTTTAATTGAATCGTTTTCTTCCTTTCATTAGATGAGATTGATACAAGTATTAATAAAATTAAAATTAAATTAAAAGTATTAATAAATCAGATTAATAAAATTCTTGTCTTAATCTGGAGACAAGGATCTTGATCGAAAGGAAGAAAATTAGCCTTTAACAATTTTTTTTGTTTTAACGTTCAGAAAAGCGTGATAAATTAAACGTTTCCCAAAAATAAGATGCTCCAGTTAAGGAAACTTTCTAGAGCATCTGTTGAGATTTTGAGACTTAAAAAGAATAAAATAGACGTATTTACCGATGACTTCGAGATGGAAAAAGTAATGTTCGTGATGATAATTTTATTAGAATTTTTTTCATACCACGATAAAGAAAACTTATAATTTTACACTGTTTAACACTAAATGGCCTTCGTTAAGCATTTATTATAATAAGATAATGTACGTTGCTCAACATGATTTTAAACGTGTAATATATCCGATCACGAATTCTTTCATCAGAAATTCATATTAAACCTTTATCAAATGAAACATTTTATAAAGTGGCTCTTGTGTTGGGATTTTTTCCTAGTATTTGAAAACTATTTCATTTTGACCTCGAAATGAACGCAACAATTGAAAATGTTAAAATATTTTGTCTTCACGTATACTGAAAAATAGCTTGTCTTCATAACAGATTAATATTCTTATATTAAGAAGGAATGCAAATTTAATGAAAATCGAGTTAACCCTAGATTCTTACTGATTGAGTATTCCTTTTGGAATTGGTTATAAGGTGAAGACTAAAAATCAACGAAGACCTGTAGAAATTATGATCGATGCATAACCGCGAAAGTCGTTTTCCATAAAAATTCTGCTTGCCCATAACTTGTTAGGTTTTGACTTAAGTCTCGGTCAGTGAAGCGATACAATAATTGTTTATTTAATACTCAGTGGCGAATTAAACTTTTAAGGGGATAATAAATAAAAACTTTTAAAGGGAAAATAAAATACACGTCATCCAAACATTTTATTAAAAATCCAACATGTGTTAATAAATGATGAATTAATCATATACATTTTTGATAGAACTAATTAAATAAAATTTTTGCTCTTGATTTAACAAACTCTGCTACAAAGTCATTGAAATCAACCGTTCGCAATAACTCGGCTTCTATACTTAATACTGTCAACGATGACAATCTCTCATCCAACATACTAGACCTACGTTTTTTATCCTCTTCAGGACAGAAAATGACCTTTCTCATCCACAATTAGTTATTGAAATCATTACAAGTATTCGGTAAGCAACGTACGCATTAAGGAATACTTATGTCATGTTTTGATCTACTATCCAATTAAAAACCTTGAAAATAGATAATACACGGTCATTTATTCTATTTACTTCACTTAAACGATTCGAGGACATTCCTTCGTGCTGAATTTTTAACAACTTAGTTAACTGTATCAATTCCATAAACAAGCTTTTTTCTAAATCAATTGAATAAACACTTACAAGAGTATCTGCTTTTGTTTTTAATTCATCTTCATCAATAAATAATAATTGCAAGAAGAATCTAAATAATTCTGTAATAAAATTATATTATAAGCTACGCTTCTATTTTTTGATCAATTACTAATTTATCAATTATCACGTAAATGTGATGATTCGAAAATTATCAACCCCAAAGATAGAACTAGGCTGTTGAACTTCTTCATCTGCTAATTTATCGTTATTTTTCTTGTATTTTTCATAAGAAAATTCTTCAATAATCAAATTATTAAGACCTTTAGCCGTCTATTCGTAATAAGTGAATTTATCGCGCAAGTCTTTAACAAAATTTACTAATAATACTGAAATCTTATTAGCAGTAATCAAGTCAATACCAATCTTCTGTAAGTATTGGCTGGTAGCATATAATCTATTCAAAATATCATTCCATAAAACCGTCGTAAAAACATTTTCTAATTTAAGAATATTATTTAAGATATTCTTGTCGTACTTTCATTTTTTGATCCCTGTTAATGGCTACAATTTCTAAAGCTTTACAAATACTGTCAAAATTATTATATAAAACTTTTTTTTTACTTTTTTTTTATATGACCATAATATATATTATGTACCTTTGTCAGCCTCGTGTTTTGGTTCTAAATTAATGGTTTTTTTCGAAATCAGCGTACAATTCAAATTTAACTGATTTATTTATATTGCTTTCTTTTACACCAGTAGTACTTGTACTTTGATACTCGCGAACCATATGGTAAGCAGAAATTTTGTTTGAAATAATATAACCACAAGGTATAACACATTGATTGATATTCTTCTGATTTGTATTAGCTATCATTTGTTCATTTAGCAATATTTACAGAAAAGGATTAAACGTCATATGAAATATGTATTTATCAAGTTAATATTTTTTACATCACATATTTTGATTGCGTAAACACATATATAAGTCCACATGTACATGTTTAACACGAAGGTACTGTAAAAACATTCGAATTTTCGTTTTGTAGCAGAACTTCCTGCAATTACTTAGACAAAAGCATTGGTCGTGATAACTAAAATTATCTGATTTATTTTCATTTGTAGTCTCTACAAACGATAATGCTACAAGAAACTTACGTACTGTCGAAAGTTTTTTAATTGCTTAATCTTTTTTTTTCAATCTCCTTTAATCTGCTCCGCTGGGATAAGTCCGACGAGACATGATGAATACTTATCAAAAACTTCTACTCATAACGTCATTTATTCATAATAAAACAACAAATTCTGTCGAAACGTATTAATAAAAACTTTTTTCACCTTATGCCTATCTAAATGTGACGCTCTGCATGAACATATTTGCGAAGTCGTTTGTTTTTAAGCGAACTGTGCGCACCGCAGATCAACGATTCAAAATATGCACATCGTCGGCTTGACCGTGTTGAAATTCTAACCATGGCGGTTATATTTAAATAAAAAGTGTAAATACAAGTTGTATGGGTATTCATATTTCATAATTCATATTTCATAATATTTTTTTAAATAAATGAAATGACTAATTAGGGCACGATTGTATATAATGTTTAAAACTATTAGGAACTATATATAAATATAAGTACATACTTTTCTTCATAATGAAATATAAAACGTTATAAAAATTAAGAAAAATTAACTTATTCATTTAGAAAGTATAACATTTCTTTATTATCATTAGATTTGTTTTCTTGCAGTGCAAGGCCGCCTAAAGCGGATATGACCCGGGGCCTCAGCCCTGGTAAACCCGTACGTTAATCCGCCCCTGTTAATATTCTTCCATATTTTAATGATATAGCAAAAAGCCTCTACGTTTCTTTCAAATTACGAGATAATAAGATTGTTATGTTTAATCGGATAATTCGAATAATAATTTGAATGCACTCATTATGAAATAGTTATTCTAATTGTATTGTAATGCAATACTATGTATCTTTATTAAATATCATAATCACATGTTAAAAAAAACTTTTTATATAGGCCTCCGATTGGGAAAAATGGATAATTGGTTAAGTCAGCACAATCGCAAATAAATCAACTTTAAGATCTAAGCTGTAGTATCAAGAATAATCGTCTCAACCGATTTTGCCAAGACGGATGTCAATGATATTATTTTTGAAAATTTTGATATTGCATTTTTGATCATGTGTGATATGCGTATAATAGAATAAATCAATTAAGTAACTTTAATGCTTGTTTTATAAAATATAGTAAAAAGAATGTTTAATACGTAAAAACTTTAGATTAACTATAGCAAAATGTTTATGCACAATAATTAAAATGAGAGTAAATAATACGTTTATTATTTTGATTAATACTATATTTCAGTAAAATTGCTCTGCATAGTTGAATATTTATTTTTTGTTTTGTTTATACATTTTTTTGTTTAATTTAATTAGCCCCGATATTTTTTATTTGTCATTCACTGTTTTTTACAACAAAGGATTAGTGATTACTGATAATAATGTCTTATTTATCAATCTAATACCTGATAATTTAAAGTGATACGGCGAATAGCGTATATTTACACGATATTTTACTTGTGTAGCAAGTATCAGAAAATGCGATTATTATTAGTTAAAATACTAAAAGATATTGATTTTAATTGGGTAATTGAATGAGTCTATCATCTATTACATAAAAAATAAAGATGAAACATTTTTGTTACTTTTTTATCGCCACGAAGAAGCAAAATAAATAGAAATAAATTCATGTCGAGTTGTTTATAAATTCGTATTTTTCTGAAATTTTTCTGAATAAAGTATGATAGTCAACTATTATATTAATAATAAAACTTATAATAATGGAAGGAAGGGAAAATAGTGCAAGTTGGAAATTCACTTGATTTTTAATTTTATTCAGCAACGTTTTGTCAGCAAATTTGCCGACGACCTCTTCAGGCTGATGTCTCCCGTAGTCAATTCTTGTAAGCTAAAACGCTTTTGTTTTGAATTTTGACTGTCTACGAGCTACTTATTTTAGTTTACAAGAATCGACTACGGAAAACATCAGCCTGAAGAGGTCGGCAAATTTGCTGACGAAACATTGTTGAATAAAATTAATATTCAAGTGAATTTCCATCTTGTACTATTTCCCCTTTCTTCCATTATTACAAATTTTATTATTTAAGAAATTATAAGGGAATCAAGACAATATTAATATTATATACATAAAAAAAAAAGTACAAATTGCAATCGTTTGATTTATTTTTAATATTTTTCTTATTGTAAAGTCCATTGTATACAAAAACATTTTGTAAATGTTCAAGGTGTACAAGTGTCTAAACAAAATAATAAACCTTTCACTACTTCATGATGTACAACCAGTAACATCATTCAAATAAACAATCATAAATAACACCGATCATCATTAAAACACGTTGAATTATGATCAAAATATATATTTAAAGGCGTTTTATACTTTTTTCGGTAAAAAATTTTGTTTGTTAGATTTTCATAAATATGGTGTACATTTAAAGACTAATTAACAATATTTTTTTTAGAAATAAATAATATACGTATTTTAGTTATATTTATATATGAACTAATTACACCAAATGAAAGTTGGACATCATTTGAATATACGTATAATTTTTTTATAATATTATAAAATATAATTATATTTAATTAAACATGATTGATGTATCAACACAAAGAGTAGACGTTTTTTAAGAGAACTTATTAAAAAATCAGTAATATAAAGATTAATAAAAGTAATTACACAATGCTTTTCTTCACGAAATTATCATATAAAATATTTATATTTCTATAAACGTATGTCTCTAATTCTATAAGATCGCAATTCTTAAGTCACATTTTAAAGCTATGACCGGATATAAAACGCAATGGTTAACAAATTGTTACATTAAAAATTCAATCAGACGCCAGCTAATAAGTCATTTTCGGAATTCACTGCAAAACATTGAACGCGCTTGCAATTTTTACCATCACTGTCACACATTATACTTTCATCCTCACTCGAATAATAATTATTTAATTTCTCAGGTAAACTTGTGATCCCAATACACCATGTTGTGGTATCACTGATATCTGATCCTATAACATTCATAAGAATATTGATGTGCTTTTTATACAAAAACTATCATAACAAAACTTTTTATGACAAATTAAAACTGTCGAAACTCAACTGGTACATCGGGAAAAAGATGAAAACTTAAACAATGTGCACACAATAAATGTGCAAAGAAATTTCTATAACATAAGATCTCACTCATTTGGCATATTCGTATATAACGAGTATAAATAAATATAAATACAAATAAGTAAAATAAATTAAGTCTATCACATCTTACAGAAAAAAGCACTAGTTGTTGTACATTATAAAATAAAATAATGAGTTGATAAGGATATATTTTACATTTGAGCGATTTTTATCCAAAGAAAAGATGCATTGGTCAGAAAAAGTTGGTATATTGACCTGGTCGAGTTGTGCTAAATCTTTCTTGACAAGCAATTGTTTGTAACATAGTGATAGCTCGACCATCCATAGCGTGGGGTTCTACTCGAAGTGTTTGCTTCAAGTGATGAATCGCGCCAGAATAATTTCCTTTGATATGTAGTAGTGTACCATACAAAAAATTCGTCATTGGCTGAAAAAAACAAAAATATATATATATTATATTACAAGCAGCTTAATTTACAACTTATTTCGCGAATTATATAATCGAGACTCACTTCAACAGAATTAATCTTGAATGCTTCCTCGGTAACTGAGAGTGCATTATCGACGAGGCTAAATTTGTGACTAATTGAGGCAATGCTGATAAGAGGGACGTCTCTAAATTTGTTAGGCACGGTATCGAGAGCAAGCTGAAGACAGTCTAGTGCATTGCGAGGTTTCCCGATGACACGCCAATGCAACGATGCTAGCATCGACAATACCCACGGGGCTGCAACTTTCTACGGATAAATATACAATTGGATTCAACTTGTATTTATGTAAAATTCTTAATTGACAATAAGATTATTAAAAGAAACTTAAAATTTTTTATAGACTAGAAATTAATTATTATTTTCTTATTGAAAATTGTTTAATCACAATGAATAAATGCTACCGTATAAATTTCAATAACTTACGGAATTTGTTGCCGTCAAGATCCGTTGCCCAATTTCTGAGATCTCAGCATCTTCGACTCGATTTTCGACTAACGCTGTCAGAAGTGGAGTGAGACTAGAATCAGGTAAATTATAACCTGTGGTAGCTTTCACCAATTCAGGTGGAATATACTTTCGATTGAAAATCTTTTGCACTTGACAAACTGGTGGATACCATGGCACTGGATGTTCTTTGTCAGGTTCAATGCCAATCAGTTCACTGACAAATAGATAAGTTCTGAAATAAATAGTAATACATATAATTAATAAATACGTATCACATCAATGGAACAATTTCTAGTCATATTCGTGTTTAACTTAAGTAGTTTATTACATTAAATATTATAAGAATAATATGAGAATTGTTCATATAGCAAAAGTTTCTTGGAAAGAGGAGAAGTAACGGTGCTATTTCGACTTTTGTCCTTTTCATTGTGGGGATTTAGAAGAATTAAAATTTTATCTACTTCATGAAATGAAATGCTACATTCAATAATTAAGAAATTATATCACTTTAAATTATCTAAGTAATGAAATAATATCTTCAAATATTGTAGAAGTTACATTTGGATGTGTCGTCTTCTATTTTGTTATTTGAAGTCAGCATCTTGTTCCATTAACCGTTTTACTACCTTGTATAATCATTTTGAAATTAGATTATGTTCTTCATAAACGTATGTCATTTAGATAGCAAAGAAGATATATGTCAGTTTAATATAATGTTATAATAACTATTGAAGGGATAAAAAGATTTGTTTAATTTGATGAAATAATAATACTAACACATAGCCTTTATTTTCAGGTGGTAAGTACACTGGCACATACTGTTTCACATCAAGAACAAAAGGTATTAAGCTTTCACAGAAAGATTCTGTAGGCCAGTCAGGCTTTTCAAAGTTTTCATTGGAGGGTTTTATTTCTAAATTATGATATTTCGGCCTACCAGTAGGTTCCATAAAAACTGACGAAAATTTTGAATAATCAGGCGTTTGACTTAAATGATCTAAATTTTCTGTAAATAAAAGAAAATGTAAAGACTACGATAGACTTTAAAATATTTCACTATAAAAGTTCTTTTCATACCAGTTGTAATTTTTGTTTTTGTCATTCGCTCTCTAATTTCTTTTGCTTGATTTTCAACATTTTTCAATACTTGTAAACTAACTCCAAAATCTATTTGTAACTTTTGAGCTAACATTTGTCTTTCAGATGTTATATCACAGGATAGTACTGACTCATCTTCTCCTCTTTGCATACAAGACTGACCACGGCTATTTAACAGTGAGTTCAAACTTTCATCATGAATTCCATTTTGAGATGTCAAAAATGGCATTTGCTTTATATCATCCCATAGCATTTTTTCTTGAAAACTTAATAATTCCGTTTGTTCATTGTGATAGGTACGAAGTTCCGTTAAAATATCAAGTAATTGTCTGGAAAAATGTGCATATGTATATAATATTTTAATTTAACAAATTGAATAAACGTAATTCCTATTGTGTATACTTACTGGTGCAAAGCACTCAAAGAACTCTCTAATTTCAAATTACAAAGGATATTGTGTTTCGCGCTTCGCGCTATATTCATACTAGGATCTAATCTTAGAACGTTGTCGTAGTACTTAACTGACTTATTATATTGTCCTAAATGTGCATACACGTTCGCTAAAGCGAAATGATGTAAGCTTACAGTTGGTGCATATTCAATTGCAGTTTGCAAAATTATTGCTGCATCTGCTGATTGGTTAGCAGCATACAGAATTCCTCCAGTTGTTAAAAGCGGTATATCGCGATAGCGTCTAGAAAATTTTATCAAGCAAATTTTAATTGTTAATTATCAATTACATTTTTACAATATTTATCTGACCATTATTTATAATTACCTTGGTGCTTTGACAATCGCTCTTCGTGCGCATTCAAGTGCATTATAAGTAACACCTTTAATTCTCCAATAAATACTAGCTAAGTTCAAATGTAACCAAGATGTACTGTTTTGATGCAGCTTATAAGCTAAATTATGACCAAGTGAATTCAAATCAAGATTTAGAGGAGTAAATTTTATCAAATTTTTTTCTTGTGCCTGTTTCAATTTTTTTCTATTCTGCATAGCCTGGCAATTGTTACCACAATGAGTAAATTCAAATTGAAAAATTGAAAGATTTATAAAAATAACTTACTGTGAGATGTTCAAAAGTATGCATACTAAAGTCTAATGGAAATGTTTTTCTACAGTCTGGTATTCTTATTCCATCATCCATTGGTATATCATCAAAACCAAAATCTTTATCTCTGTCAAATTTAGATTGATATTTGAATAACTTTTTAAGCAACAGAATAAAATAAGATTAAGCACTGACCAAACTTACGTTATTCCGTCTCTTGTATTTCCATTGATAACTACAGTTTGATCAAAATCTAATCCCACATTGTATTGTTCCCTAGATAGGCAGTCAATGTCAGTCATATGCAAACCATTTTCAATGTCAGATGCAGAATGTAGGCCCACAAATTGATTATCTATTAGAGTCTTTCTTGTTTTAATGCTTTCAAACAATTTATTCACAGAATCTAGTCGATTGCCTTGCTCCAAAAATGAAAGTAAATCATTTGGTCGACGCATTTGAAAAATTGAATCAGGCTGAAATAAAAGATTGAAATAAAATAAAGAAAATAAAATTTTAATATACTAAGATATATAAGTGCAACAAAATTTTATTTTAATAAAACACCATAGAAAACTGATTTGTCACTTATTACTCAATATTTAACATTTTAGCATGGATACTTCTATTTATTTTCTAGATTAATATTAAAGAAAACAAAATTTTTACTTGATATAAAAAGATGTATACAAAATTACTCACCATTGACTGAATTCTCACATTTTCAGTGACAACCCAATGGGTTGCTGCCCATATTTCAAGTAAGAGTTCAAATAAAACAAAGAAAAATATGTATGGTATGAGGCTCATCTTCATTATGTCTTAGATCATTTTATGTATTTATCAATCGAAATAATTGTTCTTTTTCTTATCAATCCTTGGAATTTTGTTTTACCAATATAATAACTGATAATAGACATAAAACTGTTTAATTTATTTATTTCATTTCAATGTAAAAATTTGATATATCGTGAATATTATAGCAACCTCCAAAATGTATAAACATTATAATTTTCCTGTACATTAGTACAGTATTGCTTATCTTGTACACTTGTGGTTATCACAAATTGTTCGTTTATTTCACTATCGTGATGTAAGCAGATGACCTATTTGCAACTGCAATAAAAAATACCTAAATGTAGAATTTTATGTAGATATTTCAATTCCAATCCAAAAATTTTTCAATCGTTGCGTTTAATTGTAAATAAATAAAAACTGCTCCATGCTGATAAAAACCGACATCTCGCCACAAATAGCTTCGACAAATTTTTAATTACATCCACTTGTTTGCAACTTACTTTCCAATAAAAATAACACACTTGAAACGATAATATCTCATTTAAATAATTAGTTATTAATTATTTTTATTTTTTCGCCGCAAGCCTAATGCACCGCTAGCAAATGACGCCATATTGGGTAAATATATATTAAATTATTACATGGGGTGTTTTCGGAAATGAATTTTAGCAAACTGTTCAGTAACGATCTGGCAACAGTGTACCATTTTTTGAACGAACTGACGTTATGTGCACGTCGATGTCTGTCAGCAACGGAGGTTGCAATTTTAATTCGTAGCTTAGTTCAGATATAGAAAACTGCAAAGGATGCTTTTGCTGGTAATGTGTACAATTTAATCTACAAGGAATATTCTTTGATCCAAAATTGAACTAAAAAATTCAATTATTGTAAATTAATAACAAATCGTGTTTGCAATGTTTATTTATCATCAAGTTGATGTCTGCAGTAAAAATGAACTTGTTTAGGCCCCGGTCCCATAGGTTGTATGTACGCTTGCGTACAAATTACGAATGCGCACCAATCACACGATTCCAGTGCAATCACTAGAAATTCGTAGTTCTAGTTATTAATACCAACAGTCGCAACAGGTGATTAAATATCGCTAACTGACTTACTCCACCATCTTTTGAATCTTTTTTTTCTCGTAATCATTTGCTCAACTAATTCTATGTATTACATTCCTATTTCAACTACTTGAACTTCTAAATTGATTAACAAATTAATATTCTCTGCCATGTATCTATTACACAGAAAAATGTTATGACCTACACATTGCATAAATGAATATGAATGTATTATTATCACATTGATTACTTACTTAATTTATAGTTTGATTTACGATGAACAACAAATTTTTTTTAAACTTCAGTCAATTATGTTATTTTTTATTAGTAATTATTAGTTATTTCGGTAAAACAATTTTGAGGTTAACAAACTGTATTTTGTTTGCTTAGTTAGCAACATTTAATCATCTGTTGTGACTGTTAGTATTGTAACTAGAACTACGAATATCTAGTGATTGCACTGGAATCGTATGATTCGTGCGCATTCGTATGCAAGCGTATGTATACATATGTGACTGGGGCCTAAGATTCCGCAATAGGCAGATTTTAGATCCACGATTATTTACTGTAAATGACATTGTAGTCTAGAAGATATTTCACAAAAATAGCTTTTGAATGCGATAACTTAATTGTAATTACGTAATATGTTAAATAAATTACTTGAGTCAAATGCCACCCCAAATTATAAGTTTTTTTTTATATAATTTAAAAAATCATATTTTAAATACTTCACAAGTGCGAGTGATAAGTAGAGACAGAAAAAGTTTTGAAATTAATTATTTTCAAAATTTAAGCGGACATGTTCACATTTTAAAATGTAACTAACAAAAAAAAAGAAAAAGGACTAGAAAAGACCTTAAATTTTTAATTTCATCACCGTTAGGTTGTCACATTGCGACTTTTATTCTTTTTCGTTCTCACCGTTGGTATCAGCGGCGAAAAACACCGCCAACTCTGATCCCATGATGGCGCTTTCTATGTCGCTATGTGTGTGACTGTGTGGTATTGTAATTATTGACGTTCATACTCTGCGAGTGTATAAGTAAGAAGCACGAAGTTGTGTGCGACTAGTATACATGTATAGCCGTTCTTGTACCAACTACGAAGCGGCAGTCTTATTTATTATCTCGTTTGATTAGAAGTGATACATTTTGCTATTTAATCTTAAATATATTTATCCTTGGCCAAGATGGGCGAAGATTTCAATGGAGGCAAGTAATCTCTATGTAATTTGATATAAATGCATCCTTTTCAATTTCGCATTTTTCGATACGAGTCTATAATACTTTGCGACAATGGCCGCTATACACCGCTTTCTTATTACCTTTTACCTTGAAATTTATTTCTCGTTATTCGATAATCTAAATAAACTCTACAGTTTTACTTGAATAAAAATTCGAATATTCTAGAGCAATTTCCTTAAGTTGTATTTTCTATAACCTTAAAAAGTATTTGCTTATTTTATAGCTATGTTAAGGAATCATGTATAAAAGCATAATTTTTTCATCTCAATTATACATATCTCAAATTTTTGATGTTTATTATATGTTCAATATAAATAATTATTGGTGACATCTTTCAGAGAGAGAGCGTCAAGAGAGGGACAGAGAGAGAGATCGAGGCGACAGAGACCGAGACAGGGACAAGGATAGAGAAAGGGATAGAGGTGGAGATAGGGATAAAGATAGGGAAAGAGATCGTGGAGAAAGAGACAGAGATAGAAGGCATAGATCTAGAAGTAGAGAGCGAAGGAAACGTTCAAGGTCCAGAAGCAGAGACAGAAGATCCAGAGATCGCAAAAGAAGTTCTTCAAGAGACAAGAAAGGTCGTAGTTCAAGAAGGAGAAAGCCATCTCTTTACTGGGATGTACCTCCACCAGGATTTGAACATATTACACCCTTACAGGTATGCAGTTTTGCTTCTGCATATATAATTACTTTATAATCATCTTATGATAATTCAATCTAATTAATATTTTTTACATTTCAGTATAAAGCCATGCAAGCTGCAGGGCAAATCCCAGCAAATATTGTAGCTGATACACCACAAGCTGCCGTGCCAGTTGTTGGAAGCACAATCACAAGACAGGCTCGGCGATTGTATGTTGGAAATATTCCTTTTGGTGTAACAGAAGAGGAGATGATGGAGTTCTTCAATCAACAGATGCATCTTTCTGGTTTAGCACAGGCAGCTGGAAATCCTGTTCTTGCGTGTCAAATTAATCTTGATAAGAATTTTGCGTTCTTAGAGGTATGCATTTGTAAAAATTTCAAATTTAATATTAAAAAACAAGTATTACATGTTTCACTTGCAGCATAACCAAATTTATAATTATGGAATTTTTTTTACAGTTCCGTTCCATAGATGAAACAACACAAGCAATGGCTTTTGATGGTATAAACTTTAAAGGACAAAGCTTGAAAATTAGGCGACCTCATGATTATCAACCCATGCCTGGAATGACTGACAATCCTAGCATGAACGTCCCAGGTATATTTACTAATATTGAGAAAATTATTTTCTATTACAGAATCTTCCTTATTTTATTATAATTACTGTACAAATGTATAATGAAAACCAGTTTGCTAATTTTTTTTTTTTTTTAGATTCTCCACACAAGATCTTCATAGGTGGTTTACCCAACTACTTGAATGAAGAACAGGTACGTAAACTATACCGCACTATCTTAGCAATCTATCGCACTTTTTCAAATCCAATTTCCATTTGTCGACGTATATTTCGCTGAATATTTTCAATTATAAGTGAAATTACGTTTACGGTATTGGAGTGCGGTAGTATTGAAAATTGACTTGCCAAAATGATTGAACAGTGCCAGTCAATAAGTAAAAATGAAATACATGATAAAAAAAGCCCAAAGTATTTAGCTATCATTTAGCTCGCTGGTTTCTTCATTCATGAAGGTGTCTCTTGCTCATGGAGGTACGTATGAGTTTCCGACAGGTTTCAACGTCGAATAGGATATTTTTAGAAATAGCGTAGGAATGTCGCAAACCTTTGCATTTAAAATTCGCGATCGCGATTTATAAAAATTCGTAAATGCAGTTAGATAGTCGGTAGAGCCGCAATACATGGTGCTGTTTTTAATTCATAAATTTGTTTTTAAAGTAAATTGTTAGATTTTTATATAATTAAAAAGTGTAATATTTTAAATTTTTTATAAGAAATTTCTATTCTATTTCTATTTATCTATAAAACAAAAATCATTAAATAGTTACTTTTGAAAACTGCATTGTATCAATTTTATATTACATTTTGTGGTCCATAAAAGATACAGTTACTAGTTCTCTTATAAATAATTCAGTTATATTTTGAAGAAAGTTTTTAATTTATCAAATAATAAGTTTAGGAAATCATAGCTATAAATTTTTCACAAGTTATACACCATGAAATCAGTTTAGAGACGTTACAGCTCATGTATATGATGTGATGCATCAACAGTGGAGAATACATTCTTTTTTGCAGCCTTTTTTAGGCACATCGGGGAATCGACTGACGACAAATCATGATAGATGAAGGGGAGACCAATATGTTTTCAATTGTTTTTTTTCTTGGTAAAATCAATAGGTGCTATTGCAATGAATATAATAGAGAATAAAGTCATTGCAATGGTATAACGCTAAACATCTGACTCAAATTGAATATCGTACGGTAATGTTTATTTAAAAAATGAAAATTTACGAATATTAAATTTATTGTTTAATTGATAGATATGGCATAAATGAATGTAGCTTTGATTGTCAATAGAAAAATATTGTAAGCATAATTTTCTTCAAAATTTCATGAATATTCTGTAATGTTAAAGTTGAAGCTTGGTCGGCCTCCCCTAAAATTCATCTACTATCTCTAACTTCTTAGCTCGAAAAAATGGAAATGCTCGAAGAACGTAGAAAAGAAAGGGAGGGAAAGTGGGTTTGTTTACAGGCAAAAAGTAGGAGTCAGTCTTGATCAGTGCGACAATCATGTCCTTGTTCTGCTCATTTATGAACAATATAAGGATAAATTATCACAAGGCTTTAGACTGATATCGTACCTACTGCTGGAGAACGATCGAGACGGCGAAGATGTTCTTTTTTTTATTTATTTAGGTATGGGTGGACTCGACGGTCTTTTTCAGGTTTTTTAGCCCAAAAGCGCAAAAGAATGAATGAGAGATATAAAAGAAACAGATTTCTAGGAATGCCAAGAGAGACAGCGTGAATTTTTCCCTTTTTTGCAGCAATTTTCTTTCCAGGCACTTTCTTTTCAGGCTTCGTCTTCGAGACTGCCTTTCTTTGATATTCATGCTTTACAGGGCCACGCGAATATGAAACGATTAGGAAATAAAAAAGAAATTCGCGTTTTCCAGTAAAAATTGTCAAGTGAAAGTGTATATCGAAGAAAAACTGATCATCAAGATTATAATCTTTACAATTGTACATTTGTAAAATAAAAAAAGAAAAGACAATTCCGCGACGAGAAAATAAATCAGTGCTTCCCTTTCTCCCCATTTCTTAGCTTAGGGTCGCGCCGATCGAAAGCAAAAATTGCTTACCACTACTTCTACCACTACTACCACTACTACTACTGAACATGACAATAAAGCACACTGCCTGGAGAGAGGCTTGCGCAGTCCCTCGAGGCAAGTACCTGAACTCAATTCTCTCATCTTACGGAAGTGGACATTAAAGTATGAGATGACTGAATAAGAGAATATGAGAACACACGCCGTAAATTTTTCAGCCCTTCCATCTATTCGTCGCTAGATAAGCATACATAAGAGGGCAACGTGTGTATGTGTGTATCTTTGAATGCGTACGAAATAATGAGCGCGATAAGGGCATGAAAACTTTTTGCCAATAGTATTGTCTCGATGCCGCTTATCGCTCTTGTAGAATTTTCAGAGTTTAGGGCCAAGTTAATATGCGGGCTTGTAAGTATTCTCAGTGGCTGGTGAGTGCAAAATGGTCAAAATAGCTCGCGGGCATAAGAATTAAGTTTGGTATAAAAATGCAGGGCGCGAAGGCAAAAAAAGAATGTCAAACCCAAAAGAAGGCCGTTGATTCGTCGATATTTTACTGTTTTGTCTGTTGAGGAGGCTTGTTACAGTGCAAAATAATAAAATAAAGCAGACATCGAGAGAAGAGTCTGTCGCCATGCTTGTTGAAAAGCTGCGCCCCTTTTTTTCTCTTTTTTTCACGGAACTTCTTTTCCGTTTCTATGAACTTTCATTCCATTGAAGTATTAAAGCGTAACGCGAATATACAACGGCGGAGTGTAAACTTCCGCGTTCAGTTGTAATATCAATACCATTGTTAAAACTTCTCTCGATGTAGAGCTAAACAACAAGAAAGAAAGTCCTCATTTGATAATGTGATCACGAATGAATTAATACAGGTGAAGGAGTTGCTGATGAGCTTCGGACAATTACGAGCATTTAACCTGGTGAAGGACTCGGCGACAGGCTTATCCAAAGGTTATGCATTCTGCGAATATGTTGATGTGTCTATGACCGACCAAGCGATCGCTGGTCTCAACGGTATGCAGCTGGGCGACAAGAAACTCATTGTACAGAGAGCCAGTGTTGGCGCCAAGAATCCTATGATTGGCACTCAAGCTCCAGTCCAAATTCAAGTACCAGGTCTGTCCATGGTTGGAAGCGCTGGGCCTGCTACAGAGGTTTGTCTTAGTCTCTTTGTGCTACTAGTTTTCTATTCACGATTTACAATCCTTGTCATTTTTAGGTCTTGTGCTTGCTGAATATGGTCACACCGGAAGAATTGATGGAAGAAGAGGAATATGAAGATATTCTTGAGGATATCAAAGAAGAATGCAATAAATATGGTGTTGTGCGATCAGTCGAAATTCCCAGACCTATTGAAGGTGTGGATGTTCCTGGATGTGGAAAAGTTAGTGAGCTCTTTGACTGAGTTTTTTTTTATACTTTGGAAATATTGAATTTTTATATTGAGCAAATATAAATAAACGTGCTTTCAATTTTTTAGGTATTTGTTGAATTTAACAGTGTAATCGATTGCCAGAAAGCACAACAGACGCTGACAGGACGTAAATTTAATAACCGTGTAGTGGTAACTTCATACTTCGATCCAGACAAGTATCACAGAAGAGAATTTTAATTCAATTTACTTGTATTTATTTTCTTAAATTGTGAATATAGTGTCTAAAATTGTCTTCATTGATCTTTTATGATCATGCGATTTTTCATTAGACACATTATAATTGACTGACATGAGTTGATTTTTAACAACTATAATATTTTTGAGGCAAATTAAAATTACATTATGAAATACTATAATAGCGGTATTATTGTCAATATTACTCAAAAAATATGTCTCGTTCGTCTATATGACGAACATCTTAAATGATTGAAATTTTTAAATAATACATTAATTTGTATTTATACATATATAATAAATTAATTAAGTCTGTATTTTGTCATCAATTAAGTCAAAACTCTTACAAAATAAATCATTTACAAAAGTAAAATAAGTTGATTATTTACGATTATAATTATTTAGTAAACGTATTAAATATGCATCAAACTTCATCTTGCATTGCTGGTTGATATGACGGCACTTCGCTAACTTCAATACTGTCAATCAATAATTTTTTCATCACAAAATATGCGGCTGCTCCGACTATTAACATGCTCAGGCCAATTAGAACGGCAATGGACCATGCTGGGAGAGCTGGAGCTCCTTCAAGAAAACAAAAATAGTTCTAATTCACTTTTAAGAACAGGTTCGCTTTGCGAAATACAATATCAACGTAACTTACTGTAATATCGTCTTGTTATAGTTTTACGTCCACGTAAAATTTTTCTTCTTGCTTCGGCTTCTCCCAAAAAGATTCCCATAATAACTGGAAAAAATATGTTTAATAAGAAAATAAACTGTAAATGGATAATTTATATATCGACCGCAAAGATATTTAATTAATCGCTCATTTGCGTAATATTGTATTTTGAACATTTGATCTCTGATCAGATTTACGAGCCGTAAATGTTACTTTATGTCGATCATTCAGTTTTATGCCAATTAAGTAGCTATTAATTAATATGAAAAATCTTTATTAATAATCGTTTATTACTGAAGAAATATTTCAGTTGTCACATGGGCTAATATATTTTCAGGTCTTAAAATTGATAAAATAACGTGTATATATGTAAATTCATTAGGAAAATCACATTTATATTACATCTACTATAAATTAGAATATCAAACGTTTTTTATTATATCTGGTTTCTCAAATGAAAAAATACGGATAAGTGAGTCAGCTCGTTTAAAAAGTTACTTGTTTTACGCAGCTAGACCTAGTCTTGATAATTACTGATTTGATAGTATAATACTTACGGAATCCAACAGCCAAATAATACAAAATGCTTTTTGTTCGCATTTTTACGTATTTTTTTCTTACTTTGGTGGAAGCAGGGCCAAAAATTTGAAGCCAACTGCGTGCAATGCAAGTAAAAACTGGGCGAGTTCTTATCTTCCTGGGTACTTTGTGAATCAATAGCAAACTGATAAGGTTCCTCCCAGATAACAAGTGTTATACTATCGATATTATCTTTTATGACACGTCTAGATATTTTCACCTTTACGTTTGTGGAAAAAGGTGTAAGTTTGTTATTTTTTATAAATGATGTGCTACTTTGAATTTTTCATAATGTGTATTTACATAAAATAGAAATATTTGAAACTGAAAATATATTTGAATAATTGAGAACTCATTCAATCTTAATTTTGATTTTTTGGGATATTATATAAATAACAGTTGTATGTAAACAAAGAATTCAGATAAAATAAATACGTCTATATTGACTATAAGGATAAATATATTCATGGTTTTCATTATTTTTGATATCTGAATTTCTTGTATAACTATGTGAATATTAATTCAATTCCTATCATTACCAAAATGTTCTCGTAGTAAAAAATGACAAATTTAATTTCCGAAGTCGATAGCGAAGCGCATACATGCTTGCAGTGAATTTGCTATAATGCAATTTAGTAGGAAATAAAATAATTAACATCATGAATTAATGAACTTTTTAATTTTATTTTTGGATTCATTTCTTTAATCGTTTTAACATTTCCTTCTTTTAATTTAGAGGATGAAACTGAAAAGAATTTTAAGCTGAAAGCTCTGACTGAAATCAATAACTGGTATCGTATTATTGAAATTACAGATTTGACGATTATGGCTTTAAACGGTTAATTTATCTTTTAAACCATTCCACTTAAAGTAAACTACTAGTGTTAAATCAAACGTGCTACACATGTTCATTCCTTGTTTGCATTAATATTCAGTTTGATGCTAGAAACAAATAAAAACTAGTACCGATGAAATTGAAAATTCAAACTATACAATAGATGTAATATAATTTTGTTGACGATTAAATATCAAATTACGCTGATACTCAGATTCAGCAACAATTTCAGAGCCCCTATCTGAAAAATCAGAACAGGTTCAGAACAAAATTAAAGCTAATTTCAGTTTTGAATCAGTTCTAATTTTGCCTTGATATTGCTCTGATTTTTTTCAAAATCGTAACTGAATCAGAGAAAAATCAGAGCAGATTCGGAGTAGATACAGAATAAATTCAGTCACAAAGTTGAAAATCTTGTAAAATTATTTATAATAATAACACAACATAAATATTATGCCGAACTTGAATTAAAGGCCAACACAAACATGACATTTAAATATCGGTAGAGCATATGTAAACAGGCAAACGACTAAGAGCTCAGGAACAAGATCATGGGAATAACAAATTAAATTGGTTCTTACAATCAATTTTCAATTTATTTAACTATGTTATGAATTACGTGATCACGCTTACACCATTCGCAATACTTTGATACAATAAAGATTCTAAATTAAACGATTATCAGAATTATTACAACGTCATTAACCGACATGTCGTTTTCACTAAACTCTTTCTATTCTCCAATGAAATTATTAGAAAAAGTGCGTCTTACATTATTTTTTCTTATTATCGTGCAATAATCCACCGTTAGCAGACCAATCCTCCATTGTTTAAAGTGAAGCGGATGAGTTTCTCTTAGTTTTTCCTCAAAGTCTGTGGTGGACTTGCAGGTCCAGGTCGCTGTCAGTAGTTGATAATTGCAAGATATCTGCGTACGCGTGTATATGCTTGTAGCCGTCTGTAGATCTCTCTATGAATCTGGTAGGCGGATAATCCTCGGCTACAGTTGACTCACACACCACGTCCTTGTCACAGACAGCGAGTCTACTTTCCTTCTGCCCAAGCGCTAGACTGTCATCTCTTTTAAAACCTCGGAGAGGGATTAAGGGGCGCTCATAAGCAATTCTGGGAAGAAATTTGGTACGCAAGACGGCCATCAATAAGAGAGAGAGACCGCTCAATACTCATCAAAAACGACTCAAAATCCCACTGTTACAATCTTTAATAAAAATGATGAAAAAAACGATATATAAACCATTCAATTCTTATTATTCGTTTAAGGCAATTGGAATTGAAAACAATATATATGAATTTTATATTTTACAGTAAGTAAAACACAAGAAATAAATAAATTTAGGTTGATAAATGATATATAAAATTATTTTAATCGTTGAATCTCAATAATTTTTAAATATAAATAGTAATACTAATTAACGTTATATAAAGGAAAAAAATCATGAATTTTTCCAAGTTTTCTTTTTTGTCTTATTTATGTATGTTTATAAAAGAATTTATGAAACATCTATGCTCTTCTGACTGTTATTTAATTATCAGTGATTAAATATATGTAATATTAAATTACACATATTTTCAACATTGTACTGGACGTAATTATGGATAAACATCTATAAAATCTAATAATGTAAGCCTCAATTTTTATTTTCTTACAGTTAAATTGAGCTATAAATGATTAGACTTCCATTTAATTAGTGGTTTATAAATTTAATTATGGGCTACTTTAATTTCTTAGAAATTTGGACAAACAGACAGTATATTGAGGACATAAAAACAGGTTGACATCGGAGAAATTAATGAATACGCATCTGCAGGTAGGAAAATGTGGGAAACTTCAAATTATACCAAACACTGAAATGTATAGGAAAAGTATATTCGTACGTCTAAATGGCACTGACAGACGGTTGAGTGGCCATGCTAACAGAGCACAGGATAAATAATCGGCGTGCGGACAATGGTGCACGGTTTTATTATACACACAAATTATTATGCACAAAAACATAGCGTAAGAATTGATACATGCTGATTCGTACCATATTATTGTGCACAATAGTTTATGTGTACAATAAAACCGTGCACAAATAATCGAGTGTCGAGACGCTTGGAAAAACTGGCAGACAAAAGGTGCATGCCAGACGAAAAAGAGTTGAGTGTCGCCTGACTCTTGGGACAGTAGTAAGTTCGCATGAATATAGAGAGGAACCGTAAATCACGATTGGGCGAACACTCATTATATGTGATAATAGCGAGAAATAATCGACACTCTCGCTTGTCGCTTATGTATGCGTAGGTGAAGTTGTAACATCCTATCGATGGAGGACGAAGCTGTTTGCCTTAAGAGTACACGCGTGCACGGTGAACAGCGAATGACTGGGAGATAATGCGACAGGCTCAAAAAGTAGCATATAGATTAGTGTAGTAGAAGGGAGAAGATGCTTCCGAGAGAGCTGCTACGGCAAACTTTTTCGACAAGACGTTTCGATTTGCCGACTTAAGAACCCGGTCCCATAGCTACGTATGAATGCGGACGGATACGGACGCGAATCGCAACTCTAGTAACATCACTAAAAATATCTAGTTCGATTATTTAGTACCAACACTACCGGTAGTGAGCAAAAGTAACTGTTGTTTAAAACTGTAGCGCCGAACGTACCACATTTAATGAACGCTTATCTAACCTTTACATTATTGCAGTCTATAAGATGGCAAATGATAGAGAATTGATAGACTTTCAACTACAATTAGTGGAATTAGGTCTTAATTTTATGGAAGTACTTGAATATATGAGAAGAAGAAAAAATATATAAATGATATGTATTAATCATCCCAAAAGCTTTTTTTACATTAGCATACTCATCAATAAGCAATATTCATGAGAATTTGAAAAGTAAATTGTAGACCTGACATTTGAACATTAAATGTGGTACGTTCGGCGCTACAGTTTTAAACAACGTTACTTTTGCGCACTACCGGTAGTGTTGGTACTAAATAATCGAACTAGATATTTTTAGTGATGTTACTAGAGTTGCGATTCGCGTCCGTATCCGTCCACATTCATACGTAGCTATGGGACCGGGGTCTAAAAAAAGGACACTGGATTATTCGACATAAATTTTTTTTAAATGTTAATTTTGCTGTTGTCTGGAACGGTTCAATCAGTTTCAATGAGAGTGGAGTCATTCGAAAGGGTTTATACTAACGAGTTGGTCCTGTTTTATTATTCACTCGATTAAAATATAATTTTCTGAGTAATTCACAACAAAAAATGAAATTGAAACCTGCCTTTTTCGGAAAAATTACTTAATTGGTGTATCCCACACTATTTTCCGAATTAACAGATTTGTCGAGTGTTTGATATTTCATGTTGATTGGGTAGCTCTGTTCGTTGATACGTTGGGTTGAGTCGTTTACAAAGTTCACGATACGGATATCTGTCTACGCTGATAGATTCTATTTGTAACTGGCAATTGGTTGCAAAGTGATGATCTTGTTGCTCTGTTCACGCGTTTCTTTCGGGTCTGTAAGGCCCTCGCCACATATGCGCATACGCGCGCGTACGAGCGCGTACAAACGCGTACAACTCGCTAAAAATTTTGATAGTGCCAACAACAGAAAGTTACTACTATTCCTCGCATGCCCCAAACGAACACACTTACTCCCGGAACAAACGTATCATAACGCTATATTATTGAAGGTTATGTTACGTTTGTTCCGGGAGTAAGTGTGTTCGTTTGGGGTATGCGAGGAATAGTAGTAAGTTTCTATTGTTGGCACTATCAAAATTTTTAGCGATTTGTACGCGTTTGTACGCCCTCGTATGCGCGCATATGCGCATATGTGGCGAGGGCCTAAGAATAGCTTGCTGAAGGAGGCTCCAGCGACTACAGCAAAAGTCAAAACAGCTTAAACAAATAAAGTTGTACAACGAAGTATATATTTAGTATAAAAAATCTTATAACTATTTTTTAAATAGTATTTGTTCAAAAGTAGTCACTAACATGACATACTTTATTTATATATTTAATAAATAGTCACTAAATTGATATTTTTTTGCAATAAGCCAATCAGCAACTAGCTTTAATTGATACTGCATATGGCAATACGATGTTCATTTATATCTAACGTAACCTAATTGCGTATCGCGCAGTCATGAGCTGTGTTATTTATTAAATTTGAAATTACCAAAATATTCAGCCATAAGTCATTAAAACTTTTAATTACGAATATGTAACATATTTCGCATAATTCAAACTCGCTCGACTTTCTTTAACAGCAAAACAAATACGGCTGCCGTTCAATCGCCGGATATCCGAGGAAACTAAGCGAATTTCTTTAATGTACAATATTACACCACGTGGACCCACTGGCAAGTCTCCTTCAGAACTTATGTTCAGAAGAAACATAAGAGACCGAACTCCGTCAATTAATGATCTCGTACTAGATACTGTAGACGAAGAGACCAAAGACAATGACATAATACGAAAACAAAAAGGAAAAGAGAGGGAAAATACAGCTATAGAGTCCAAATTCTGTGATATTTGTCCTGTCGATAAAGTTCTGATTCAACATATGGTAATATCAAATAAATCATCTACTTGTTTTGATATTGATGAATTTGAAGTGGTAAAAAGGAAAGGAAAGTAAGTACTTGTAATGAAAGATGGGAAAGTATGAAGAAAACAAGTGACTTATCTAAAGAAAATCGAAAGTGATACTAATATCACAGGTTTCAAACAAATCGAACAACCAACTTTATCTAATTTTAATCTTGAATATGGCACATCTACATTACTGTAACTTCCCAATATGAATAAAGATATTGAGAATCAAGTGGAGCTTGCGAATTAAGTTTCTATTGAAAAACAGAAAAACTATCTATCGACTCCAACTCCAAGAACAAGTATTTCAAAGAATCAGCAGACCACTCTTTTATCTCCGAAAGTGACTTCATTAAAACTGAAAAGAAAGAGGGATTATAGAGACCTGTCGAACGAGCTTGAATATCGCGTGATGGTTACATAGCAACAGGCGTTGTTTTGGGTGGGTGCGCGCTTTACGATTGGATTATGACGTGTGTTGTATTGTAGTTTAGCAAAAGATTACTTAACGTAGTTTATTTTAAATATAGAATTCATTGATTGTAAGAGATCAATAAAATAATTCTTCTCATTACAAATTTCTGTATTTATTTATTTATAAATATCAAATGTACATTTACAAGGTACATCAACCAGTTCCAAATAAGGCGAGGATAGTGTAATTGGTCGGCAAGGTTATATATACAAATAGCCACTGTTTTTTGGGATGCACGTGAAATTATCTTCGTCGACTATTTAGAAAAAGGACAAACAATCACTGAAAAGTATTATGCATCGTTATTGGACCGGTTAAACAAGAAAATAAAGGAAAAACGTCCTCATTTGAACAACAAAAAATTCTGTTTCAAAACAATGCACGAATGCACCGACGAGTGCATCATTGCGTAGTTACAATATCCAAATTTGAGGAACTGAAGTTCGGATTAGTATACCATCCAAGGTATTTATCAGACTTGGCCACTAGTGACTTTTGTTACTTCCAAACCTAAAAAAGTGGCTTACTGAATAACGATTCATCTCGAACGAGATCATACCATAAACAAATGGTTATTTTCCTGATGGCTTAAGAAAACTCGAAAGATGCCTGGGAAAATGTATCATGCTAAAAGGAGATTATGTTGAAAAATAAAAAAAGTCTTCCCTAAAAAAATTGTTTTTCAATTTCTTTCTAAGGACTTATTGACCTACCCTCGTATGTCTGCAGATTAGCGGTTTGTTGGATACAATTATTTTCATAGTTATCTTTCAAAGTTATCCATTTTCATAAAATATAATATTAAAAAACAAAGAAAATTATGTCTATTACTCATAGTTAGCATATTTTCAGTTTTTATTTGTTTTTTCTTCTGACATCTACATTAAAAATGGTAACTATATCAATTTGGAAATATTATTAACGTGGAAAAAAATAGAACATGTATTGTGGTTACGATTTGACGGAAAAACAAGGATCAGGAATTTTTGATTGGCGAAAAGGAAACAACAATTTTTTCGTCGATGGGCAGTCAGGTAGACAGGGGAAACAAAGATACATCTGCAAATGAAGTACAAGTCGAAATTAGTTTTACGAATTATCATTTTTATTGATAAAAAAAATTGCAAGAAAAAAACAATTAAACAAAAATATGACAGTCGTGTAGTTTTTAATAACGTGATTATCGCCAAACTGTGCGATGATTGATTTATTTTTACAGAAGCATTGCCTCTCAACACTCATTCTAAAGCTTTCGTTCCCCATAATACAATTTTATTATTGGTGAGTAGAGGATCTAGTAGTTAAGTTTTTTTTTAATTTTATTTTTATCTTGTGTAGCACGCATCATCAAAAAACTTACAGCGAAAACAAAACTTCCCATAACGACTTATGAATAGGAATTATAATAATAATATAAATATAAATAGCTGGCACATATACAAGGCATCTCAAACATCACGTTTCCGTCATTTTGGCCAAGAAACGAAAGAATCTTTCTCAAACGTGTTGCTTCATTGCTATACTTTCTCATTTGTCGTTTTTCATTATTTATTTATTTATTTTTTGTTCAATATACATTCGCTCTGTTAATGCGCGCTTGCTTACTCACCCACATTCTTACAATTACAATTATTTTTTGGTTTATTGTACACTTTCTTCAATACCCTTCTAGCCATACGTAATTTTTTTTTCTTACAATTCACGTTCATCTTCGTTATGCATTTGTTATTCTCCAGTAATTATTCATTTTTATTACGCTTATAGTAACGTACAGCACCATTTTGACGCGCATCGGCAGGATCGTAGAAAATCAGTTTACATACTTGTTTGTTTTTTTTTTACATTTGTCTCTGTAACATGTTTTTCGTTTGCCTAAAACAAGCCTTTCATTTTATTTATTTGTAGATGATATTTGCAAACTTTCGACGTGTTGTATAGTGTATTATCTGTTTCATATTTTTTATCTCGAATAGGAACAGACACCTAATGTAGAGATGCTCTATTTTTTTTTATAAATAAATCTGTCGAGATTAAATGCTTCGAGTGAACTCAAATTTTTAATTTCAATGACTTTTTTATACTTCAGATAAGTTCAATACACGTAAATTCTATATTGAAATTATTGTATGAGGTTAAAACTGGAAATGATAAAAAAAATGATAATTTAAAAACTGTTCTTGGCCTAGCTTAGTTTAAATAGTTTTAGATTTTGTTAATACTTTTAATTTACTTTTATAATATACATACTTTGACAATATATTAAAACAATGTGATTGATCTGATTCCACATTAAATAAACAAATAAATAATAAATCATACTTGTATCTCGCAATTTAGTTACATATAGCATGCTATTAATATACATTAAACAGCGTAAAGACTTACGCATAATCAAAAAGAATATAACAATACAAAATATTCTAAAAGGAATGATGTATATTTTCCTAAGTATTTATCTGAACCCTTTACTATGTGCCGATGAAAGATTCAGAATCTATTAAAACGATGACCTATTATCAATGTTGACATCACACAAGATTTCACCTGAACTTTTGACAACTCCTCTAAATAACTTTTGTTTTTCAATGACATCGCTTTGTAATACTTTCTAATTTTTTTTACATTTTAACATCACCACTAAGAAGACACTTGATATAACGATATGGACAAATCAATAACAAAAATACTAATAGAATGCTCATTACAGTTCACAACTAGTATGTATAATCTTTCTAAAAAATATCCGTGACGCCACTCAATGTTTTAAGTACCAAAGCGCTCAATTTGACACTATTACTGAAAAAACTGGGAAATGAAGTTTGGCAACCAAGCATTATTCGCGATAAAAATAAATAAACAGATAGAAGATATATACGCAATAAATAGTATAATTTTGTCATGGACAACAGAGCATTTAAAGTCTTCATAGTCTCTGCGTAATCTACATCTACGGATAATTAATAACTTTACTCTCATAGACTTATCAATAGTATGAATTGCCCATCTATAAACTATGTTCTATTGTACCTAAAATCATTTTCTTTCAATTTGAATACTTTTTCGTTTCGAATTCGCAGTATGATAACGATTTTTTTTAATTAATGGATGGCATTTGCTTGCGAGTCGTTAACAGACCTATAACTACCTCTTTGTGTTTTCTTTCTCCCTTCGCACGTCAGAAAATGCATCGATTGCACTAGCATTCGAAGTCTTAAAATCTACTGAAGCATAAGATGCTTTTGGCTTGGCATATTGCTACGAGTGTTTTAATTTTAGTTGATACATGTTCCGTTGAAAATTAATCCACGTATTGTATAATTCTTCAAATGAAGTTCTAAGTGAAATAAAAATAATAGTATTAATGGAGTTTTCATTGGACTATCAAAAATATGTTTGCTTTCAATGTACTTGGAAAAAGGAGAGTATATAGAATCGTATATGTATTCCATGAAAAATATTGTTTATACAAACCAGAATTATTTGTAAGTTCAAGCTTAAGCTTTGTGTTTTATGCTTTTTCACAGTATTACATCAAATTATGAGAACCATGCCTTCGTCGATACTTTTTCTTTTTCAGAATTATAATATTAATTTCTAATATTATGGCATAATTATGATGTAAGCATAAAAAAATAAAGGCAGCTCTACGAATTCATCTCACAATGCTGTGAGTTGCTGTTTTTTAATTTGTTCATGTGCATCATCTTTAAAACACAATTGTAATAATTATCTATTTTCTTTGTAAAAATCTGCCTTAAAATGTGTTAAAAGTTAATTTGTGAAACTGGCTTTATAATGGCTTGATTATACTAGTAAAATGTTAAAATTGATATACATATATGAAAGAAATATTCACAGTGATTTTTTTTGTAGAAAAACGCTTCTTCTTAACAATTCTTAGCCTAAAACGTAGTCTAGCAAAACTTGACGTTTTTAATATCGTGAGGCAATCAAGGTAAGATATAATAAGTTATTCAGGCAATTATTACTGTTACAATGAAATATCTATTTACAATTAAGAAGCGAATAATAATACGTCAATAAAATTCTGATAATACAAAAATCGATACAATTTCAATGAAGTCATCAATGATTGAATTATCGATGGAGTATGTCTAAGAATAAACGACCGACCAAATACATTTTAATATATCTTTCCCTATATATACAATTTACATTCTATGGAAAAATGAATATATTTACGCTTGAAAGTTTTGAAAAATACGATTTTGAGGCAGATATTTATATCGTCACCATCGACTACAAATTTTCTGCACGTACGACGAAGAAAGAAAAACCGCCTGACTGTTTACCCGACCTTTTATTTTGTTTAACAAGTATACTAGTTTAGTGACAAGTGTACAAGTATAATATATTCGCTGAAAAAATAAACTAGTAACTGTGATTTTCAAAAAAAAGAAATTGAAACGTCAGCTAAGATCATCGTTATTTCGTGCAGCGCAATACAGTATCAATTTTAATTTTCATCTCCCTTACTTAATAAAGACACTATAAATGCATGCTGCCATTTCATAGTTATTTTTTACCTCATATATATATATCCATTTGAATATCTCGCACCATATTAATTGTAGCTATCAGTAAAGAGCATAGAATTATATATTACCGAATAACCGTGTGATTATTCTTGTAAGCTAAGCGTTTGGATTTACCTTGTGGCTAGCTGGCGTTGCGCTCTAAACTGTCTTTCATCGTTTCACTTTGGTGGACAGAGCCGTGATTAATCGAGGGCTCATTACAAATACTCTGCTGGGATACCGACGTTTTAACGGCAGATGTTCCACCTTGTTCGTCGATCACCGCTCGATTTGCACGATTCATCGAGTCGACGGAAGTATCACGAGGTAGTGGCGAGTCCAATGACAATGGAAGTATCCCTTCGCGGACGAGCGTTCGTTTGAAATTCGCTAACGTATTTTTTAATGTGATACAAAACCCTTTAGACGCGGGTATCAACGGAAATTCCGGCAGAATAGTGTTCTCTGTAATTAAAATGTTTGATTTAGCGCCAAATTAAATTCACTTGAATTGAAAAGTGTAATCGCTCACCAATAGGAGCTATCTCTTTGAACGTGGTAGGTGTGACTGGGGACAATGGATGTTGATTGTTATGCTGTTCAGAAATTTCCATCCATAGCTCGAGCCTCTTCAATAATTTGTCAGAATGCTTTTTAAAATGTTGCATAATAACATCTTTAAATATTAACGGAGGATACTGCAGCAATTTTGTTTGTGATTGTACGAGTTTCAATGTAACCATCTCGTTATACATCCTTGAATTTTCTCGACCTTGCTGAGAACCTTTTTGTTTTTCAAATCCTGCTTCATTGAAGTATGGCTCCGCCACCAGTATTAGACCCTAAAAGTTATATGATTTGTTAACAAGTTAAATATAGGCTAAGCATAGATTCTAATAATATGAATTTAACCTGAATTGACACAATAACTTGAAGAAGAGTTGATGAATTTGTCCACACTTCCGTGCCTCGACCCGCCCAAGTTCCTAAAAGACTCACGCAGACTTTTCCATCTTCGTATAAATTTGGATTAAGCCTATCACTACAATACGAGATGTAATGACAAAGTGGTGGTGCAGCTGGATAATCTGCTGATAATTGGAAATCAAAGAAAAAAAGTCCGTCTTCGTAAGGAGTTTTCTCAGGACCACGCATCATGACCGAATACAAATCCATCCTGTCCTCAAATCCTTTTACCCAAATGCCTTGAGGCAGCGAACTTTTCAACAATTTCAATTCCTTAGATACAGTACGAAAAAAGTTCGGACGATCCGTCGGCTGAAACATGGTCAATTTGAACTTGTGGTTATCTGGTGCTGTTTCTTCTATCGAGAAGCCTTCGCCTTCTAGGTAGACTAGCGGAGGAATTTCTATTGAGGAATCAGAAGGCTCCGAAATGACTTCCACTTTCTTATCTTCTTCTTTTTTGAGCTTTTTGTTCGGCGACACTGCTTTTGAATTATTTTGATCTGCTGCATCTGATAATGACATCTTCGAAAGACCAAATCTTTTGGAGACTTCGGCATGGGCTAAAACTGTTTTAGTACAAAAATTAGTTACCACACAATGAATACAATTAATATAATACAGGAAAAATATTTATTTACCTAGTTGAGCCTTTATGAGATTGCAAAGTTTAACGCATACGTGTGAAGATCCAACTAGAGCATTGCCTAAGTTATCAGGAAGTGGGGACTTCGGTTGATCAGGAATGGGAGATCGATCGATGTTATTCACATCCTCGCTGAGAAGAAATTCTCCACTCGATTCGCTAGACCCGGATTCTTTTTTCGAATGTTCAGCGGAAAATAATCCCGAATCCTCTGGATTTCGATTGATATTGATGAAAAGCTGATTCGTATTTTGCTCACCAATTTTCGAATCTTGATTATGCTGGTCATTTATCACAGAATCATCTTCCGTTAGTACTACACTGATTTCTTCAGAGACGGATTTTTCCAATGAGGTATTAGTACTTGTATTTTTCTGAGCATTCAGAAGTTTGGAATCGGTCAATTCAGAATTGATCTCCGATCCACTTTCTGCTTGCGTAAACAGTCTGTTTACCTATAAAATGAACAATAATGAATACTCAAGTTAATAAAAAAGATGTTTTTTACTAATATAAAAATTGAACAAACCTGATCAGCCATTCTTTGTGCGACATTAGCGCGTCCCCTCTCTCTCACTCTTTCGAGTAATCCTTGAAAGTGACTCTCATGGAAGAAAGATGTCCCCATAAGCCTATCCATGTACCTGCAGTCTTTGTAAACTTCCAATAACTTCCGCATGACTTCAGTCGTTTGCAGAGCAGGATTTTGTGTGAAAATCTCCTCGAGTCTCGACATAGCAATTCTTGCTTTCTCGATGTGCGCTGCAAGCTTTGGCTTGATATTTTCAGTTTGTTCGGCACTGCCGTCGTTGTCGGCGATAAAGCAGTCTTCGAGTTCTGTCTCCCATGAGCCATCCGACGAAACATCATCCCACAATTCACCCTCATCGCTGTCGTACTCGCCTACTTTGTACAAGTCCTGTGGCCAACACATACTAACATGGCCGTCTACCCACCAGACCTTGACGCGACCCTCAGGATAATTGTCGAGGACTTGGCCTGCCGTACATCCAGCGTCTTCACCCTCGAAATTTGCAATGCGAATGACTAGAGTTCCTGGACGGTACTGGAAGTCTGGATGATCTTTCAGATCGTATACGCTTACTTCGGTTTCTTCCAAAAATGTTGGCCTGTAAAAAATATAACATGCGTTAATTTTTTAAATCTTATTGAAGCAAATATAATTAATTTAAAAAAACAATTTTTGTTGTTGCAACTTACTGAGGACTTTGACTAGATGAATAAGTTTTGAACCACTTTATTCTTGCTGTTCTTCCTTGATGATCAACGCTCTGAACGACGCCGTACATTCTAGATTCCTCCTTCTGGTCGACAACAAAATCACCAGGAAAGAATTCTTTATCATCCAGATGATGAATTGGATACAGTTGAGTAGAAGGTATGCCTAAAAAATATTCAATCCTAAGTATAAGGCTAAATTATGTACAATATTAGAATATATGCTTGATAAATTGAAAAAACAACTATAAAAATGAATTAGTGATACAATGACATACCGAGTTCTACAGAGCCGTCCTGCCAAACAACGTTAGCTTTTGTATTTGTGGAAAGAGTTTCAACAACTATTTTAGTTCCAGGTACCAAAGGAGGTGGTGGAACTTTCTTCTTAGCTTTGCATAATTTACGCTTCTTCAAAACTTTTGTCATTAGTGCTGGACCTTTCTTTTTCTTTCCCATCGATGATAAACTAGAACAACCGCTTGATACCTGCATCAAAAGTAGATATTTAAAAGTGATTCAATTGAAAAATTATTATTGTTTTATAACAAAATATATTTCCCACCGATGCTGAATCACTTTGTGAGCCAGTGTCTTCTGTATCCCAGTCATCAGAACTTTCAATATTTTGGTTTATGTTAGGTGGTGTAAGTAAATTATTACTTACATTGTCTTTTTCCCTGTTAACTTTGTTTTCATTGTTAACTTCAGGATGCTCATTTTTATTTTCCTGAGATTCCTCTTTTATTCTTTTGATCTTTTCTTCCACAGCTGCCTTTGACAAATTAATATTACGCGATTTTCTTGGACTGTTCTTAGGAACTTGAAATATTTCCCTTTGCTGCTTACGCCACTGTTCTCGCGTTATCACATTCTCATCACCTTTGATCACATAAAAATTTCTGTCACCCACTTGTAACGTCGATGGCTCGAAAACATTTAGCAGTTTTAACTTTTTCAAGTCCTCGCCTTCAACTACGTATTTTGGATGCGTTTGGTCTGACCAAGCTCCATCCTTAGAATAAGCTCTACATTGCCAGTGAACACCTACCCAATCAGTCTCGACTTTTTCAACAATAACTTTCGTTATTCGCTGCGGCTTAGATTTTCGTTTAGCCTTCATTTCTTTTGTACATTGTATCCATTGAGCATCTTCCAGACAATGTATTGGACCCCATAAACATTGTCCTGGATAAAACTCGGATGAATGAGGGAAATCATTATCCTAAAATAAAGATAATAATGTAATGATTCTTTAAATAATATATAACACATAGATAAACTTAAGTGTGTTAATATTCCCATTAATTAGTCACAAAGTCTTAGAAGAATTAAATTAAATTATAAAAATTTCGAGAATTTCAAGAAATAATTTAATCATTTTAGTGTACAAATTAAAAGATAAATTGAATAGTACATACTGTATCTCTTTTTTCCTCAAAATGCTCCAACCCACGAGCATCAATCTCATTGATGACACATCTAGAACCATCAGGAGTGGCTAGCCACAATTTAAAGTGAACCATTCTGATTCCTCCCACCCAAGAATCCATACATACTGCAATGTCTGCAGCAAATTCCTATAAAAGAATTTTCAAGAATTTTAATATGTAGAAACTATATAGATCAACTATGCTAATTTATGAAAAAAAATAGTTTGTCTACCTCAAGAGGTACTAAATCTTCACTTCGAATATTGGTTAATACTTGTTTTGTACCAATAACTTGAACACAAGCATTTAATTCAATATCACGGCAGTATCCTCTTTGGGTATCTTTTCCTTTAATCATGCGTCTAACAACATCTCCGGGCATTAAAGTTCTGTCAGCTAAATGAACCTATAATCATTATTGTGAATGAATAAGAATATTTTATATAATTATTGTTTAACTACTACTTTTGAACAAGCAGCTCTTATGATTTAATTTATTCTTCTCAAACAAGAATAGTTCTATTTGTCTGTAATTAATTGTATTTGGAAGATTGAAGAGTATTTTTCATCAGCAGATGATGTATTACATTGAATTTCATTACATAAATTAACCTTAGGAATGAAGTACATTTACAAGTTGCAATGTTAGATAAAATATCACTGTACACAAAAATTAGAGTGACTAGAGAGATCAGAATCTTGGATGTGTACATATGAATCATCAAAACATAGAACTTTATAGACTGACCAATCCACATAACACAAGTATGACAACATGCAGAGGTCATCGAGATATCCTTAATCAAGATCGCGATAAACGTACATATATATATATATATATATATATATATATATATATATATGAATGAAATATAGAAAGAGAAAAGAAATCACAAAAAGGGTTGTACCTTTTTGGAATTGACGAGATCTTCAACACCGGATGGATGCCAAACAACCCTGATCTCTCCTTTCTTCCTCTTGGGGCTGTCCTCGTTGCCGCTACTATCGTCGGAAAGCTCGTGATCATCGTTTTCCATGACAATGCCAAACTCGACATTGGAGCGTTTGTCCACCCTATAGACGACATCCTCGTAGAAGTACTGGCTCTCGGTGCCGAGCGATGGACTATTGACGCTCGGATTCGCGGCCATAATAGCTGCTGCTGCTCGCTCCAACACCACTCATACACTGCAGCGTATACGAAGATGATGTATCGTGTAAGCTCGTCTGTAATGCCGGTCTGCTATTAAATTTCGTTATTGGCTAGGCCCCTCTCTCTCTCCTGTCGCGCGGGCGGGCGACGGCTCTTGTGCAGCCTTCTTTGAATACAAACTGCGTACGTTACACACGTGTGTGTACAGACCTCCTCTCCGTCTGTATTTTCTCTCTTCTTCCTTTGATTTCCCCGTCGAACCCGTCTCGCCCTCGACGTTGTTCTCGTCGTCCTCCTCTCCTCTCGTCACAACGAGAAGCCTCCTGCGGACATTGGATTCCGCTCACTCGCGCAACCCCCAACTATTAGACGCTGATGGCGACACTGGTGGTGAGGAGCCGCGATTCTTTCAAGCTTGCTGTTATGTTCTCTTCTGCTTTGCATTGTGTTTTATTATAGGCTGACGCGATGGATATACACTATCATCTTAGCAGAAGACTAAATACTGTTACACTGTTGATTTTCGTCAATTTTCATAATTTACATGCACGTGATCGTAAACGTTGCTTGATATGAGTTGAGTATTCGCTTATAAAAAGACGAGTATCATTTTGGCGAATATTTATTTTTGATGAGATAAGAAATACTTGTGAAAATGAAAAGTACATGATAATCAAGATATGTAATATAATAAAGATCATGCCAATGGAAAATCAAGTTTTCATCTAATTGAAATTGAAAAACGTGCGGTTAGAAAGTTTGATAATATTTCTGTAGAATTAAAAATAAAATATTCCTCTATCGATATTTTAATAATGTCTATTGCTGTAAAAAAATTATATTATTATTTATTTAATATAATATGAATAAAATACAAACAATATTTTAATATTGTATTTAGTTTATTAAAATTATTAAAGTCTACAAATATTATTGCACAAATTGTTTAGTATAATAATTGTATTTACAGATATATTATATATATTAACTCTGCAAATATCTGAGCTATTTTTGAAAAGTGAAGGACTTAAATTACAAGAAGTTCTTGTTGAAAATTGAGCTCATCAAAATTGTAATGCATAATTGTTGAATATGTTTTGATAGTTAGTAGAAGAATATTATTTGAATGTATATTGTTAAAAATGATTGTTGCCATAGTGACATTTTCTTAGAGTTTTTCAAATAGACAAGGGCTAAGATGTATTTGTTGTTTCTAAGTCAACAGTTCTTCAATAGTACAAAAATACTTCAATTTTACACTGCAAAATGAGTCCGATAGAATCCTTGTCCCAAACTTTGGAGGATTGTTTGTACTTCTGTTTCATTCTTATGATAAAATATGTGTGCTTCAAAATTGGTAGCTATACTGCAATTGGTTTCACTGAAATTATATTGAGTATTAATTTCATGTATTAAATTTATTCAAACAATTGAAAATTCAATCTATAAATGATTAATTACCCAGAAATAAAAGCAAAGTAATGTGGAAAATTAACAGAATGTCCACATGATGAAATTTCCATATAACTATAATCAAAAATCACCTGAAATTCAAAAGAATAAAAAAATTAAAATGCCATTGATAGATGCATAAAATAATTATGTATAACTTACTTTATTATCAAAATTTTGTGTAATTTTTACACCAATTTCAAGGCACTCAAACCTAATCGGAATATATTTGATATTTCCTATATGTAGCAGTCGTCTTATTCCTTTCTCAATTTGTTTAACATCACCTTCTCTACCAACACATATTGATCCACAATAATCAAATAGGCAACCAGGTTTTCCTTCTTGTAAGGTTTTGTCTTCTTTTTGAGGTGATGATGGTTGTTGCGTTTCTAGTGGTTTCATGAATTCTAATGCAGGAGATCTCAACAATTGTTTCATATGATCAAGGCCTGAACTTTTTATTACATTAACAATAGGTGCAAATGTTTCTTTTGTTTTACTATTACGGTACTAAAATATTAAAATTTTCACACATTTTGGTAATAATTGCACCTTAATAATATTTATGGTGATAAATTGCATTACCTTAACTATATGAACAGAAATAGGAAGACATGCAGTCTTTTTCATTATCTTATGAAGATTTGCTCTAGTTTGAATTGATATGATATTGCCATTAATTTCATCCAGCACATCCCCAACTTCTATCCTTTCCTGTAGAAAAGATTAATTTCCAGAATATATGTAATATTTATTGATTCATTTAATAAAATTTCATTTAATAAAATAATACTCACATCCTCAGCTGCAACAGAATGTTTTTTAATTTTTATAATCAATGTTTTACCCCTTGTAAAACTGAAAAATCACTGATAATTTTAAGTTGCCATACTCACAAAATATATTTCTCTATTATTAAATATTATTCTTACCACACTGATAAGCCAAGTGTTTTGCAAGGCACAAAATCAAGACTACAACATTCTGGCAAATCCCAAGTGTCATCTAAAAAACTTGCGTTTCTTAAATTTAATCTAAAATTTAGTCTACTGATTTGCAATAAGACTGAATATAATATTTCGCCTAAAATTTCGTCGCCTAAAATGCTGTTTGGACTATAATAATCTAAAGCTAAAAACGGTGTCCTTACCTGAAACGGGAAAAAAGAATTCATTACATAAAATATTGTTCAAAAGAATACAGTAATTCAAATTTATAGATAATAAAATACTGTTAAAACTTACAAGATAACCAACTGGAACGTGTAAGCATTTACGATTTAAACATGTTCGTATTAAAAGCCTCAGCCTACCACTAGATTCTTGAACTTTTTGATTCTCTAGTACAGTCTCTACTATGGACGTGTAAGAAATTAATGAACTGTAAAAATATAATTTAAAAAACGTTGATTTTTTGTTTAAACATGAAAAAGGAATGATAAAATAATTTATATATATATAGATTTAATATTTTTCTTTACTCTTCTCTTCTTCTTGATATATCTTTCATCCATTGCAAGGCATCTGGGAAATTCGGAATACCCATGGGATTCATTTGTATAGATACCCCTCTTTGAAAACATTTTTCCAAGCATCTACAGAAAAGTGTAAGCTCTTCTGTCTTATCCGTAATATCAGCACGATTTTCTGTAAATCTTCGAGTGTAACCTGCAATTTTAATAAGAAATGGATAAAATGTTTGCAAATGGTTTGACGATTACGAGGGCTATTGAGTCAAAAATTCTGATTTCCCGCTATGGCGTCAGCTATTGCAGGTCAAATTCAAATGTAAGGCGCGAAACTCATTCGCTGCTGCATTCTTATAAAATCAATAATTGGTATATCGCGAAGAACAGTAACATATTTATTTGATTTTGTACGACTACAAAACTATTGCCAAACATTCGTTAATCATAATTGACTTCTGTCTAAAATTTTGAGCTTTCCGAATGCTGTACAAAACAAGCACAGCTCAGCCATGTAAGTAATTATAAATATTATACTCTAACCTACAACCAACCCTTTACAAAATAAAATTTCTATACGTACCTTTCAATTCCTTGATCAAAGGATCCGAGACCGACATCACACATTTCTTATTTAACTGTCTCAATTAAATTGATGATGAAATCCCAAGTTTTTTACGTGTTTATCAGCGTTTTACAGACCTATGATATAAAATAAAATTAAAATACCTCTGAAAACGCGTAAAGCTCCCACGCAAACACAAGACACATACACAGGCAGAACGCCGTCGAGAACGACGCATCCGTTTACGACAGCGAAGTTACGAACGCATGTATATCGCATTCGAGATTAAGGCCAACTCAGATAGAGCACTGTGCGCTTGTATTTGCAATTGTCAAGTTCAGTGATAACGCCGGTGTCTTGTCCCGACTACGAAGTATGTTCTCGAAAAATTTTACCTGCTGTTTATTTGTTTTTTCAAATGCCTGTGATTTTCTTTTATAACTTGCGAGTTTGAGTGACGTGCCTCTGAATAATATTTGTGTTATCTTATTCGTAAAAATCTCAATAAACGAATATAAATATGTAGCATCTAAGAATATGTCTTAATAAATCGTAGATAAAACATTTGTATCTTGATAGCTGATTGCGTTAAGCTTTTAAATAATGAAAACAAATCATTTTCCGAGCAAAGTTTCCAACTCGCATATGAAAATAGAAAAATGCATATAAATAATAACTATAAAATGCAATCGACTGATTTTGCTAGATAAAACTTAAGGAAAAATGGCCACAGCTCATCTCGACGTGAACGAGTTGAAAAAGCAAGCATTACAACATTTTACTAAAGAATTTGGTGATAATGCAACCCTTTGTGCATGTGCTCCCGGACGCGTCAATTTGATCGGCGAGCATACCGACTACAACGAAGGTTTTGTCTTGCCAATGGTAATTTCTATAAATTTTTTCCTTATAATTTATTTTATTCGGGAAATGTAAAAATATCAAAATTTGCTTTATCTTTGGTCAGTTAAAAGTACTTTTACGTAAGTTTATTCTTTCAAAACAATATTATTATAACAATTCACATAATCAGGTGTTGAAGATTGCAACTGATGTATGCTATATTATGGCATAGATTATGATAATGATAATGATTACTGATCATCGATGATGCTCGTGATCATTGATAAATATTTGAAAAAAGGAAGACACGTAAGAAAGGCAACAATAGATTTTCAAGATTAAATATAAGGTCAGAATTAGATTCTTAGATAACCAATGACTTTGATTTGAGCATGTATAATTAAACTGTATCTATAATTGTTGGCAAAAATCAAGCAATGTTTGATGATCTCATATTCATTCTCATCATGACTGAAAGATTTCTACCTTATCGGTATGCGCGCTTTTTTCAAAATAAACACGCAAAATGTATATTAAAGTTTTTATATCACTTTATAATATTGAAGTACATGTATATATGGAAAATTTTGATTTTTTTCACAGGCTTTGCCTTTGATAACTGTGATTGTCGGAAAAGCAAACAATACCAAAACATGTAAAATAATCTCAATGAACACTTGTGCTGGAGCACAAAACACTGCCGAATTTGAGTGTATCAACCGTCAATCAATAAAACCAGGAGAACCTAAGTGGGCTAATTATATCAAGGGCACCATCGTAAACTTTCCAAGTAACTATTATATCGCATTTTTAATTCAAGTTTTATCGTATAAGTATATATTTTGGTAAATATTTGCTGATAATTTTAGTCAGTCTTTTGAAAGCACATTATTATTAATAAATGTAATCATTTGCTTTCTAAAAATGTAAGAAATTCAATATTTTTAACGTAATATATTATTAAAAACTGAAACTTTTGTTATATACCTACGTACAAAGCTTTTTATAGTTTTTATTTAAATTTAAATATCAATTCAATTCTTTGCAATAAGCATGCGATATGTTTTAGAGGACGTATCTGCATTTAATGCTGTGATTGTTTCAACGGTTCCTGCTGGTGGTGGGCTCAGTAGTTCTGCTGCTCTCGAGGTTGCAACTTATACATTTTTAGAATGTCTTACAGGTCATGTGCCCGCAAAATTAGAAGATAAAGTAAGTTATTTTCTATTCATATACTGTCTTTTTTATAAAAAAATGTGTGCTTTAATTGATCAAGGCCAATAACGGTAACAAAATTTTAGTTACAATTTTTGTAATAAACCTACTAGTGCTTGAACGATTTTTAATTCATCCATATTATATATTTATTAAATATATCGTTTATAACTTATGCAACTATTTCAAATGTATAAATATATATGTTCAGGCATTGGCATGTCAACGAGCCGAGCATGATTTCGCAGGCGTACCATGTGGCATAATGGATCAGTTTATATCAGCATTAGCACTGGAAGGTCATGCCTTACTGCTTGACTGCCGGGATCTTGCAACCAAGCACATCCCTATAAAGGGCTTTGATAATCATGTATTCCTCATAACCAACTCAAATACACCGCATAAGCTCAGTTCGAGTACTTACCGCCAACGTAGAGATTGTTGTCACGAGGCTACCAAGCTTCTTGGCAAAAAAAGCCTGAGGGAAGCTGCAATTAGCGATCTTGAAGGTAAATCAATAATTGCAGTATAGATAATTTATTTATGATATTAGGTATCAAACTAAAAATATTAACTAAATCTGCTGCTATCTTTGAATTCATTGCAATTCGCAGACTAAAATGCTTTAATCAAAAGTGTTTAACAATTACCGTTTTATTTATGACTAAAAATCTTTTCTAAAATATAAATATTATTTTAACGAATTAGTTATTTAAAAACTTCTATTAAAAAGACTGTTGTAAATTAAACGTTGAAACAAGTTAAATTAGAAAAATTTGTCGTCATGAAAAATCCATCTATTTGCTATCATACTACCATTACTTTGGTAATATACTGGTATTACCGTTGCTTTAATAAGTCTGCTATAGCATATCATACAACTTTTACTTTTTAATGTGACATTCTCAGTCTTGAAATCAAAGAACGCGAATGAAGAGATAATAAAAAGAGCCCGCCACGTAATTTCGGAGATACAAAGAACTATTGATGCAGCAAGCAGTCTTGAAAATAATGACTTCGTAAGATTTGGACAACTCATGAACGAGAGCCATAATTCATTGCGCGACGATTATGAGGTTTCTTCAGAAGAACTTGACTGCCTAGTATCTATAGCACGTAGCGTGGACGGCGTTTTGGGTACGAGATTGACTGGCGCTGGTTTCGGCGGCTGTACCGTTACTTTATTAAAAAAAGACGCGGTTGACAATGTTATTAAGCAAATTAAAGAAAAGTAAGTGATTCTCGAAGGTGTAAGTTCATAAAATGACAATAAAAGTATCAATAATTGCTCATAGGAAAATTTAACTTAGTTCGACTAGTGTCAAAGAAATCTAATTTATTTACAAATATAAATTTTATAACGAAAAATAGCACGCTTGCATAGTTTTGCAACTATTTTAATAGTTAATTTATTCATATTAAAAACATATATAGTTAGACGATTGACTGGAATACTAATAATTAAATTTGGCAGCAATTTAAAAAATATATTATATTTTTACTACTGTCCAAAAGTGTGAAAAACTACAACTAATTAGGTGTTATTTATCTATTATGTTTATAATGATTTCACTAATTTATAAATGTTTTTCGTAGATATGCAGGAACACCAAGCTTCTATATAGCAAAGCCTTCCAGTGGCGCTCGACGATTGGAATTATAAAAGTGATGTGAAATGTTCTTTGAAAGGCAAGGAAGTAAAATAATCACTGATATTGCAATTTTGCAATACTGTATACAATAATTTTGCAATATGAATTCACTGGTTTGTTATGTTTTGGAAACTCTTAGAGATAAAACATTAAATACATATTTACAAAGTTAAATTCAGCCATCTTACATTAGCCTTTCTTAATCTTTAAAATCCTTTCCTATTTTCTCGTGATCGTGTAATATAACATTAAGGAAATCAAGATCACGCATTAAAATATTATTGTTTTAATACTGTATCCATCAGAGTCTTATCTTTTTAGATAGATTTAGTGCTGAGTCACTGTAGTTGAATTGTTATCAAACTCTGTAACAGAAAAATAATAATTTGTGTATCTTTGAAAAATGAATTTTACTGTATTGATAGGTATAAATTTAGTTTTCCAGATTGTATATTTAAGAATCCGTAAAAAACTCCGTGTGTGTGTGTGTGTGTGTGTGTGTGTGTGTGTGTGTGTGTGTGTGTGTGTGTGTGTGTGTGTGTGTGTGTGTGTGTGTACACGACATCACTGAATTCTACATTTTGTACTTCTGCTGAAGACTTATCAATTTTTTTGAAACCCATATGGTATTGTATTAATAATAATTTCTGCCTACCTTTAAGATATTCATTAAGCTCAATTTCATTGTAACAACATTTCAACTCAACCGGTTTAACTCCTTGGAAAATGGTAAAAACGCTTGGTTTTAAGTTGTAAAAGATAAGTGGTTGGCCTCTTCGTGCAAAATCTTCCAGAAGGCTCTTGATACCCTGAAAGTAAAAACATGCTTACATCAATTATTTTGAAAACATGTAACAATACAAGAAAACGTTTCTCATTATAGAATGCATTTCTAAAAATATCCCCGTGAGCGCAATGAATGCAAGTAATTACAAATTCTTAGATAACGAATCGAGTCTCCATAAAAATGCAAAGTGGCATGCAATTAGGACAGTGAGCGCGCGCGAACGAGAATATCCTGTCAGCAGCGAGAGCAAGGCGTTATCGGTAGCAAACCTTGGCAGCGGTAAAGTCAGCCCCTTGGATGTGCGTTGAATCAATAACGACTGCTACGTCGGTTCCTTCCTTCGAGCCGTGCTTGCTGATCATTGATCTTACATACTCCACACTTGGGAAAACGAGACTTCGATCTGGAGTGATAACTAAATAATCCACTCCATCAGAGCTCTGGAACAAGATAATGACAAGTTTTGAAAAAAATAATAGTGAATTTAATTAAATTATAATCGCAATTAAATTCAAAAACTGTTGCTTTGTATGCTTATTAAGTTACTGAAAACATATATTTTTTATATCAGTATTTAAGCAAGAACTGTTGGTATATTTTTATCCAAAAAACTTTTTTCCTTGCATATATTCGTTTTGCGATAAAGTGAAGTTTCATCATTATTCACAGTGCACGTACAGCTTATCGATGCAATAAATTACTCTACTTAACGTACAATACAAAGTATTACTTTATGACGTACGTACAAAGCATTATTCTTTAAAAGGTCGAATTAAAAATCGATAAAAATATTTTTAACGTATATACGTCGAGAGGTGTGTCATGATGAGTTAAATTTGAAAATAGTATGTAATATAGCGATCGTATGTATCATCAAAACAACTTAGTAGAACACTAATTACGCTGGTTTAAAACGCTGTAAATATGAAATACATCCGCAAGAAGCGGTATGATAAATCATTATTATCTAACAAAACTCACTATGGCTTTGCTAACTCGAAGCGAAGGTCTAGCTGATCCGTACAGTAGATACACAAGATTTACTCCAATACCAACTAAGATTCCTACTTCTAATTGAATAAACAAGCAGCTGAGAAATGTTACTACTGCGGGTACCAAGTCGATTTCTGAAAAATAAAATTTCAAATTGATGTACTAACTCAAATAACCGAACAAATTTTACGAAAAATATTATTTATACTGACTTTTAGTACGCCACATGGGTTTCACGACCTGTATCTCGACCATGAAAACGACAGCGGCAATGATAACAGCGGCAAGCGAAGCTTTGGGTATGAAGTAAAGATAGGGCGTAAGAACTTGCAGTGAAACCAAAACCAGGATACCTGTATAGACGCCGCCAAGGGTAGTTCTAACTCCGGATGAGTGGTTGACAGCACCGCGACTCAAACCACCGCTTACCGGAATTGATGAGACAAACGATGAGACTATGTTGCACAGGCCCACTGAAAGCATCTCTTGTGTTGCGTCGATTGGTTTGCCTTCGGCTGAAATTATATATATATATATATATATATATAAAATTCGATACACCGAAATAAGTTATACGGAGTTTCTACACAATTTTCAAACATTTTTCATTAGCAGTCAACTCAGATAACAAATTTGTTTTTTATCAAATTAAAACTCAAATAAGATACAATTAAATCAATGAAAAGATTCACTTACAAAATGCTTTAGCAATAGCAATAGTTTCCAAAATGCTTAACAATGGAACAATAATGCAGCCGGAGCCCATGAGTGAAACGGTGTCGAAGAAGTCGTAGGTCTGATTGCCTATGGTTGCTTCGAAGGGTGGCATTTGAAAAACGGGTAAACCTTGCTCGACATGTCCTGTCAGGACGACCGGCGAACTACCAAGACGATCTTCCAACATCCATGCGGCTACCGCGCAAGTCATTACCACGAGGATGTTGCGCGACGTTGACACTAGCCACAGTAACTTTTCTAAAATCCGACGCCACATCGACGGCATTTTTTCATCCTTGTTTAACACTGGGATGTCCTTAACTTTCTGTTGTGAATTTTAATAATCTTTTTAAAAGTTATTTTTTATGTTTTGACTTTTTTATTTTATGCAAGTAATTGTTGATAACGATTAGAGACATAATATATAATAATATATATGTATAAAGTTACGATTTTAATAAAAATGATATAAAACGCGTAGACAAAATATCTTTTTCAAATGATTTTGATGTAAAGCGAAAGACAACATTATTACACAACAAAGTTTATATTTTGTCCTACATTTGTTTGATTTAAATCGTCCATATTTATTACGTATGCAAAGTTTCTGTATGTTATACATTGACTGATTTTGGTTAAATTCGGAAATGTATATTTTTGCCTTAAACAGACGATATGATTAAATAAAAAACCAAAATTGTATGAAAAACTTCTGTACAAATACAGATAATCGCTGTTACGCGAAAATAATTAGTTTTCATCAACATGATCACCTAATTTGGAGTGATGCCATAATTTTTTTTTAACAGAATGTTTGTAAGCACTCATCAAATTATGTAAAAAAGTATAATCATTGTTTTTTGGATAATTACCCGTAACAGAAGAAGAACAACTATGCAGGCGACTCCGAGTACAGCATCCCATAAACTTGTATTATTGATATTTTCGAAAATCGTCCTCCAAACTTGTAGAAACTTGCCTCCACTTATTTTAAGCCCCAGGATATCTTTTACTTGGCTCGTAGCGATAATAATTGCTGCAGCCGACGTGAAACCGACGGAGACTGGTCCTGATATAAAGTCTATTAGAAACCCTGAAAACGGATACCTCGGATTCATTTAGTGGTGTACAATATTTACAATTAATATCTTTTGGTAATTTTCTATTGAGCATATACGTTAAAAATAATAAAAACTCATTAAAATAACAAATTTTTACTTTACTTGAAAATTGAAATTGAAGAACACGTATTGTTTATAAAAATTATTTATTAGTTGGTTAAAATGTTCAAATATTGAAAGTTAATCTTAACGGCGTGCGGACAATAGTGCACAGTATTATTATATATATAAATTCTTATACACGCAGTAACATAGCATAAGAATTGATACACACTGATTCGTATCATATTGTGCGTAATATAGATTATGTGCACGATAAAACCGTATACAATTGTCCGTAGTCCGCACGCCATTTTAAACAGTAGATACTAAGTAATGCTTTTTGGTCGGCAGCTTGGTCTTGAATAAATAAAAAAATGGAATTGATTTTATCATAAAAATCTTATTTTATTATAAAAATACAAAAGTAGTAAACTGTAAAATTAACATTACACACAGTCAATGACATATATATGTTTCAAAGCTCTTAAAATTATAAAATTTACAATAAAACTTTGATAGATATAATTAAAGTAAAGTTACATTTAATGAGTATTTTCATCAGGTCCGGTTTTGATATGCATTTTTAAAATACAAATCATAAATACTTATATAGACGAATCTTTACTATACTAATAAATTTGTAAATAATTGATATGAAAATATAATGTATAATCTTGGAGCATTTTTTATGAGGTATAAGACTTTGTAGTTTTATCACATATTTCCCGTAAATCTTTAAGATTATACTTATTAGCAGCCGCTGAATAATCCTTTAGATATTTGATCAACTTCTTAATTCTACCAGTGTACATATATCGAAGTAGTTCTTCCATAACTTCTGGTTCAAAATCATCTATGTAAACTTTTGAACTGTTATTATCTTTGAATATTTGTGCAAAAGTGGGACTTCGAGCTGTCAGAATTGTCTTATGAACTGGAATCTCTTCTCCTTTTACTACTAAAACAGCATCAGTATATTTTTTTGTTTTCCATATATCTTTTAAGTCATCTACCAGCTTATTTTTAGATTTCTTAAATTGTATATAAATTCTAAAAGATAATTTAAGATTATCGTCTGGTATCATTCGATAATACCAATAGACGTTATCTCTTATATGGCTCTTGCGTAGAAAACCTAAAAATTCCATACCATCTTTTTTTGGAAAATTCTTTGTAGTTGCAAGTTTATATGAATACCCCTTCAATTCCGTAATATAAGCTCTAAATTCCATTTTTGCTTGAGATTCATCATGAGTTATAACACAAACATATACACCATAATAAACTTCTTTCTTTTGTTTAAATCTTTCAATTCTGAAAAACCATTGAAATTCGTTTGAAACTCCGGCTGAATAAATTTTTGAATTTATAAATCCTTCTTTATTTAGTGAACATGTGCTGAAATCTTGAACCCTCCAGTCACAGTAACGAATTTTGAGCGATATTTCTTGAGTATGAGAAATATCAGTGCGATATTGGTCATCTTCATCATCAGATTTGTCAAAATGTTCAAATTGATTAAATTCAACAAAAGATCTACTTGGTGATGGTGATCTACTTAAAGAAGCTGACTCGCTGGAAGAACTGTCACTATCAGAGGAAGAATTCGGTGACAATTTGATGCTTCTATCAATGTATTTTGCTTTTGATATTGGTGGTGTTGCACATTTGATCATACCATCATCATCCAAACTTGCATAACTATCTGAATCTGACATTATACAATCTAATATGAATAAAAAAAAGTAAGTTTTGTATCGATAAAATCTGTCTATTTTTTAAACATTCAAGACAATAAATTAAATATTTTATAAAATTTTTTTTTCATACCTTACAACAATAACAGCAGTGACAATTATATTATCCTCTCGATAGTTATAAATTTTATGCTGCAACTAAACGTAAATAATCCTTGTAAAAATAAATAAGAGATAACAAAATCATGTTTATTTTATCATAAATACTCTTACTATTTAAATAATACTTACTCATTTATAATTAGTATTACTTCCAATAATCTGTATACCAATATATATAATTGAATAATAAATAAAACGATCAGATCAGAATCAACCTAAGTCAATTCACGCATTCGCCATTGTTGAAAAAGTAAGAGTAGCGAGGAGTAGGGGTTGTTGTCTTCGTAGCTACGGTAGATGGCTTAAGTATATATGTTACCGTTTGTCTTGTTTTAATAAATAATAATAGAATTTGATAAAAACTAAAGTTATCAAAGTTAAGTGTGTTTTAAACTTTTACAATTTTTTTGACATATGTTATATAAAAGAAATAAATGAGAAATTTGACGATGAAAATGCTATGTTTAACACGGGCTCCTATGGGAGAATGATCTTGAAATCGACAATAGAAACTGCGAATAAAACACATTAGCAAATTTTCGAGAATTTTCATATAAAAATCCCATCGTTTGAGCACGTTATAACTTATACCGCTAATTACTTAAAAATTAATTTAAAATTGCTAGTTGAGTTTATGTTACAAATTGTGTATTTTTTCATACAGCATGCTCTATTATTTATTTTCTAACTATGAAAATATGCAACCTTGAGTTTATTTGTAAACATGTTTGTTTTACGTGTTTTCCGACTAATATAATTTGATTTTGTATCAAAAATGTAGTCAACTAACTTAGACCCCGGTCCCATAGCTACGTATGAATGCGGACGGATACGGACGCGAATCGCAACTCTAGTAACATCACTAAAAATATCTAGTTCGATTATTTAGTACCAACACTACTGGTAGTGAGCAAAAGTAACGTTGTTTAAAACTGTAGCGCCGAACGTACCACATTTAATGTTCAAATGTCAGGTCTACAATTTACTTTTCAAATTCTCATGAATATTGCTTATTGATGAGTATGCTAATGTAAAAAAAGCTTTTGGGATGATTAATACATATCATTTATATATTTTTTCTTCTTCTCATATATTCAAGTACTTCCATAAAATTAAGACCTAATTCCACTAATTGTAGTTGAAAGTCTATCAATTCTCTATCATTTGCCATCTTATAGACTGCAATAATGTAAAGGTTAGATAAGCGTTCATTAAATGTGGTACGTTCGGCGCTACAGTTTTAAACAACAGTTACTTTTGCTCACTACCGGTAGTGTTGGTACTAAATAATCGAACTAGATATTTTTAGTGATGTTACTAGAGTTGCGATTCGCGTCCGTATCCGTCCGTATTCGTCCGCATCCATATGTTACCTATGTGACCGGGACCTAAAAAAAGTTTTGTAGTTCGTTCGAAAATAGTTGTTGGTAAATCTCATATTTCATATTTCGCTGGTTTTTTTTCAAACGATTGAAAATAATATTTTTTACACTAAAAAAACTGGATCACATTTTTGCATTTTTTTCAACAAACACTTTTTAACTTTTAAAGAAGTCAAAAAATAAAGGAATTTAACTTTTTTTTTTACGCTTCGTTTTAAAATGTCTAGGGACGTAGTAAATCACAAAAAAACTAAAACTAAGCGTAAAAAAAAATTAAATTCCTTTATTTTTTTAATGCGCTAAAAAACCGAAAAAAAATTTTTTCTCTATTTCTTTATTTTGACTTTATTTTCGTATTCTTGGGCACAAAATAAAACTTTTTTCTCCTTGGCATTTTTTTCCAAAACGTATGTAAGTCGAAGTAATTGAGGATTGAAAAAAAGGTTATTTTTTTACAAAAAACGCCGTAACTCGGTTAAAAAACATCAGATAGAACCCCGCGGGGGCTAATTTTAAAGGGAAAGACATTACCCTCCGAACCCCTCCGGTCGATTTGCCCTCCACCACCTGGTTCTTAATTGGCATTGATTTAAGTCGAGGTTAAAAATTGAAATTTTTTTAATCAGTTTTTTTACTGTAAAAAACACATATTTTCATTTTTAAGTCTCTGCACGTCTTAAATGGAAGCTTTTGCAATTACCTTTAAAATGCCCTGCGGTTTTTTGTGATACGATGATTTCCGACCGAGATACAAAACTTTCAAGTTTGCCTAATTTTGAGGTAAGCATGTCAAAAGTGATTGACGGGCAGTGTACGTTGTGCGGATATGATTTCGCGACTTTAAGTAAAATTTAAAACAAAGATTTGTTTACACTTCTGCATAATAGTGTTAAATTTATTATAATCGAAATTATAGTCATTTCAGTCTGATAGTTTCTAGTGTACTGTCAACATGGCAAAACGAACGTCTCTTCAAATCCGAAAAGTTATTATTAATTTATATGAAGAAGGAAAATGTTCACGTGAAATTGCTTCAACTTTTGAAATAAGTAAATGAACTGTTTATTATATTATTAAAAAGTGAAGGGAAACAAACACTTTAGAAAATAAACCAGTATCAGGAAGACTGCGAAAAACAACTAAGCGTGTTGATAAGTTAATTAATAAGAAAACAACCATAGATGTGAAGAAAAATGCTAAATGTATATCACGTGAACTGTGCGAAGAAAACTTAGATGGTATAAGTCGCAACATTGTTTCTCGCAGACTAAATGAAGCTGGATTATTTGGGCGTGTTGGCATGAATAAAAAAGCAAGAGTAGAATTTGCTCAGATTCATAAAGACTGGACATACGAGATTGGAAAACAATTAATTTCTCAGATGAAACTAAAATAAATTTATTTGGGAATGACGAAAGGAGGTATGTTCGACGACCAAAGAATACCAGATTCGATTCTCGGTATCGAATACCGACAGTAAAACATGGTGGAGGCAATATTATGCTCTGAGGAAATTTTTCGTCGAAAGGAGTTGGTCCGATTGTAAAAATTGATAATACTATAGACTCGGCAACTTTTAAGATCTTGGCAGATAATATGCTTCCCTATGTACGTCGAAATATGCCATGAGGATGGTTTTTCCAACACTTGTGGGAGGTATTAAAAGTAAAAGTAGGTGCAGAAAATTGTTCAAATAAAAGCATGCTATGGGAAAGAGTACAAAGTAAATAGCAGAAAATCGAACGAGAAACAATTGAAAAACTAGTTGAATCAATGCTTCAGCGATGTGCGGCAATGATAAAATTGAAAGGTATCTTAACAAAATATTAAAATACGTTCTAACTTTTATTTGATATAAAGTGATTTTCTGTTCATTTCCTGTGTTTTATGATTCATATCACTGTCAACATTTTTAATTAATATACGTGTTTTAATTATTATTACTAGTAGATTTTAAAGTTAAACATATAGATGTATAGATTAGATGTATAATTGTTGCATGTTGCATCAACAATACTTAAGATTGGAAGTAGGGTGGTAGTGAACAATATGAGCAGGGAAAATCTCACATATACAATCGCGCATATTTATGAAACGATTCAACCAATTTTAAAGGTGGTAGATTAAAAAAGGATGTATAAGCTTCTGAAATTTGATTATTGACTTGATTGAAGTGTAATTGCAAGTAATTGTAAAGAAAAAATTGATCTTGTAATGATTAATGTTTTGGTAATTAAACCAACGTTTCTATTAAAAAATTAGCAGTTATAGTTATAATTATCTTATTGAATTATTGTTAAATGAAATAAATTACGTTTTATAACATCTTAAAAAAGTTTTTGTATAAGTGTGTAATATCTAATAAATTTAAAAAAATGAATGCTACATTCAATTTGAAATATAATAACTAAAGTCAATGTTTGCTTTATTTTTTAGGAATATGGTATAGAAAATAAATAGATAAATTTTTATAGAAAAATCAATATTTATGAATATTTAACTTAAACTCACTATATTCTACAATTATAATAAGAAAATATTGAAAAAGTTTTAATACATTGTATAAATATAACAATAGAATAAAAGCAGAAACAATGAACGTAATAATTGAAATATGAATAGTATAAATAGTTTTCCTAATAAACATAAGTGATTATTTGGTCATGAGAAGAAAAGTTAAAATTGAAAAATGAATAGGTCATAAAATATTTGGAAGAATAGTTTACATATTGAAATAAGTAATTTTAAGTTACTACTACTTTTTAATGAAGGTAAAAACTTTATTTCAACTGAGAATTAAGCTTTTTTGCTGCCTGAAATTTTTTGCACATGATTTGCAAGTCCTTGATTTTGTACCTATCAGCAACTATTGAAAGTTTGCCTGTCAGTGACATTAATTTTGGGATCTTATTAGTGTAAATAAATATTAGCAACTGCTTCAACATATCTGGTTCAATATCATCAATCTTCAATTTGTTAATATGTTCGTTCTCTAACAGTTTTGCAAAAGTGGGACTTCTATCTATAAGAATTTTTCTATTTGCTTTGAACTTATTTCCTTTCACAGTAAGAGTAATATCTTTTTCTTTTTCTTGGCTAAATATCTTTTCTAAATCAGTGTAAATTTGACAATTTTTATAAGTTACTTCAATTTTGAAACGAAAGTTCAAAGATCCTTCTCCCATGTAAGAACATTGATAATAGTCATCATCGATATAACGAGCTTTATTAATGGACCCCAAAAATCTGTATCCAGTTTTAGTGGGAAACTTTGCATCTTTTGATTTATTAAGATAAACTGTCTCATTCTTATGGTTAACAACATAACTTTTGAAGTTAACTGTTGCTTCAGATCTTATGTTACTCAGTATGTTAACATAAATACCCCAATGGGTATCTCCCTCACCAACCATTTTTTCCATGATAAAGAAAAACTGAAATTGATTGAAATTACCAGCTGAGTATATCTTTGATACTAATAAAAAATTATTTACATCATGAACACTTGGATCAACAAAACCATCAATTGACCAATCACAGTAGATTTTGATAAATGATCTTCTATCAGTAAAATTGCAGTTGTAATAACTACAATACCCATTATTCTCTTCATCACTGTCATCTTCACTATCGCAATATTTCATTTCTATCTTTTTGTGCTTAGGAGATGGAGATTTTGCTTGTCTCCTTTCTTTTCTTTTTCGCTTTCTGCATTCTTTTTCAGACTCATCAGAACAATCGCTGTCTTGACCACTGTCAAACTCAACATCCCAAATATCTCTTTCAGAATCAGAATCACTTGATGATCCATTGCCCATTTTGTGCTGTTAAAAAAAAGGATATATTCCAAATCAGAATTTTCAACTTCATATTCTTAATAAAATAATAATTAAACCAACATTATTATATTTTCCAATTAATAAAATTTTTTTATAAATCATAGACGAATAAAATCATTTTACAACTTTTGTCAAATAATTAACTCAAAACTATGTTCAATTCGATACAACTGAATCCTTTTGAAAATATTTACTACACGATATAATGTGTAATTAGAATCGATTTTAAATAGCTATCTTAAAAATCTTACCTTCCAGCCCTAACAAAACAACAATAACGAATAAGAAACTAGACTCAAAATATGAAGACGGAAAGCTACAGCGTCCGACCCAACGACTCCTTTGTTTACGGTAAGTTGAAAACGTCTTTCCACTGCTACGCAACTTTATAAAATCACTTTATAAATACTTTTTTATTCACTCACTTACTACGGAAATGGACAAAGCGTGAACTGAAATTGATTTTGGCTTTTTTTGTCGATACGTTTAGCATCAAGAAACACCTACGGATCGAGGGTCACTCGCAATGTGATAGCGACTGTCGAATGATCGAGGCAGACAGAAACACGCACAAACTATCGTCTGCTATATTTTCGTATCATTTACAGCCACGACAAAGGCAGTAAAATGATAGTTCTTATAGTATCTATTCCAAGTATGTGTTTATAAATTCTACATTATTTCTCGAAATTATTGCAAATCAAGTTGCAATGGAAATGAAATATTAACGAAAATCGATCTAAAGTTTAGGAAAACCGCTCGTTTCCGAATACCATGCAATGAAATTTTTAACAATAATTAATATTCTCGAATTTGATACTTAACGATAATTTGACGAAGTACATAAAAATTCATTGTTTACGAACGTACGCGTTAAAAGTTTTATTGGGGTAAATATTCTGGGGGTAAAAACATTCGCCGATATCAAGTTATACCGTACCATAACAGAAGTTGATACACATATATTCCTAGAAAATACATTTCTTCGATTTTTATTTAAATTAATTTTCGTCGACTTTAAAAAGGAGAGAGGTATTGTATTAACTATGCCCGCGAATTTTTCCAGATTGACTGAATTGTTTTTAATGGGAGATAGTTTTATTTGAAAGCGTGTGCTTTCGAGATCGTCTCATTCAACATCAACTTGACTAAACCGTAATTTAAAAATTAATTACTTAGTCTGCGGAAAATATGCAAATTGATGATCTTTTCAATTTAATAAAGAAATAATGGGATCAAATTTTTATTTTTTGCCGACTTCAAGAAGATTCTGTATTTAACTTGTTGTTTTTTAATGCATATTTGTACATATTTCTGGAACAGTTCAGCCGATTTCAGTCGAAGTTGAGCTTATTTGTAAGTATATCTCCCTGGGATGATCTGTTTCATTACCGACTTTATTGAAGCGTACCTTTGCAATTAACTGCAAAAGTTTTGAATTTCATCTTTTTTCAAAAACAAAATAAAAACACTTACGATACAAAATTAAGTGATATCTAATCTTCAGAATAAGAATTACAAGTAGAAAAGAAACTTAATTGCAGCCTTGAATAATGATAATTTAAAAAACATTGAATACCCGAGGCTAAAATTATAATGCAAACCTATATACATAATGAATCTTAATCTCGTTATAAAATATGCAGTCGTAAATTTTATTTATACTGTAACGTCGTGCACTTGAAAAGCATTGATCATATGTTTTAATATCAAATTAATTATTGTGAAAATAATTAAAAATATTTCTTAAAAGTATAATTTTACATAGTGTCTTGAAGTGACTTTCAATATGTGAATAATTAATTGTAGTGTTTAATATTTAAATAATCAATTTCAGTATTGTCTATTAATTAAATAAATATTTATAATACTTATAAGAAAACTTACCTAACTGTAAAATACCCATAAGTAACGAAACAAGGCCGGAGACGAAAGCAAGTGTCACCGCATAGATGGGTGGCAAATTCGCTTTGTCCAACGCTTCATGAGTCATAATAGAAGCGATTGCTGTAGGCCCCACCGGAACATCTTTGCAGGAACCAAATATTGTGTAGATAAAGCACGACATGAACGAAGAGTAGAGGCCATACTGAATACAAAAATGAAAAAAAGACATAAGCTTTTATGATTACTTTTAAGAAGCTGTAGGATAATGTTAAAAAATGTTTTTACAAAACAAATCAACTACAAGCTGGAATTCTAACGAAAACTCTTCGATTCTTTTATTTTACTCACAGAAAAGTTATTATTTTAAGTATATAGTAAATATAAGAACTTTTATTTTTTTAATTTTTTCACGTTTAATTACGAGGGTCAATTTTTTTATTGGACACTTGTAGAGTAAGTGATAAAACTTATCCGTTTTTCAGGTCACTTTTGCAGCTTCTTAGTTAAAAAATAAAATCAATCTCTTACATTCACTACATACACATTTTAAGAATAAACGTTATAATTTAACAAATCTTCTTAATTTTTTTATGTAATAAAATATTAGAATGGAATAATCTGGTCTATAAGAGCAGCATTGATTCTTTACCAATTTTTTTTTATGATTTCCAACCTTTACCATTGAAAAGTTACTTTTGCATTTAATGAATCCAATAATATAAATTATTTACTTGTAGTGGCAAACCAGCGACATTAGCATAAGCAATCGCTTGGGGTATGACAGTAAGTCCAACAGTGATACCAGCAACAAGGTCGCTGACGATGTACTCCTTGCGGTAGTTTGGCAGCCACTCGATTATTGGTATTCTCTTGTAAAGCAATTTCCTTCTGAATAAACTCTTCATCCGCTTATCCATCCAACTGCCACACGACATGCTCCCTACTTCTTTTTCTGTAGTGCTGGCAACTTCAAAAACCAGTTTGTACATATTTTAGTGCGACTCGCTATATCATCAATGTACTTGGGATTTTTGCTATTGTAATAGATTTTTTATGGGATAATGGAAAAAACTTTCCATTATCATGTAGCAATATCATCGCTTTATGAGTGATGTTAAATTAAGGAAATGAGGGATAATCCGCGATTGTCTGACGAATGTTTCTGGATTGGTCTGATTTGGCTTAACTATATGTTTGACGCTTTATTCCTTTTGTATTTTGGCAGACATTGTAAGTATCAACTTGATCGTTTATACAATGATTCTTATAAGCTTTCGAATTATTTTCTATAAATAGCCTGTAAGTTTTTACCATTTAATTCAAATACAATCGTTAATGCATATCTGCGAATTACTATTGACTGGACTTCTTTCATTGTTATTCGGGTAAAAAAAATTCGGTAGAAAAAAATGTGCATTTAATATCTATTCTTCAAAAAGTCAATTGTTTCAGAGTGATAAAACCAACATGTAAATAATAGCCAGCAAAAGAGTATTTTGCATTGTTTATACGCTAAAGAGAGAAAGAAGTTTCGTTCTTTTTTTCTAAAAATGTTTTTAACACTGGCCTCATTACAATGACCTTTACAGGCAAACCTGCAATGTATGAGCTCAATCTAAGCTATACTACATTTATTTTTAACGCCTTGTTAATATTTATTCGTAGTCACTAAATTAACGGCTTTAGTAATATTTTACGATGAAAACTCTTCATAAGGCACGTCAAAAAGAGGATCAAATGAAAAGAAATAACTGTCTATTTACTAAAATAACTTTTTAATAACTATTGATTGTTTGAAAATTTTCGTAAAATTACTGCGTTTGTGGCTGTCCAATAATAATTTACTTCCGAAAAAAGTGTTATATTTTTCATTATTTACGGACTCACCGACGTCCTTCAAAACAATATGCAGAGCTTTAGCTCATTCCCTGACAAGCATGCCATGTTTAATTTTATGTAATCACTAATTTAAAAAAAAATGCTTCAAAATAAGTATTCTTACTCATCAGTAATTGTTCGAAAGGAAATATCGGCTCGTTTTTTTTTGTTTGTTACATAGCAACTACAAACAAAAGAAAATTACGTGGCCGAGTGATCGTTGACGATTGATAGCGAGTGCGCCGCGCGGAAGGTAAGCATCCGAGACGTCCGTGTCAAGTATAAGTGAATCTGGTCTAGGAATAGGAAAAAGCAACGAATAGTTTTGCATGGTCGCGTTATTTGCGATGGAAAAAAACGCGCGTGACGAACTTTATGCAACAGTGCGATAAATTTCGATGGATTATCGGGTGCATTGAGTAATCGCGCATTCGAGAACATGCTATGCACCTGGCAACAAAGGGGAGAGAAAGATAAAACAAACGAGCCTCGAGCCAATTGAAAAATGTTGATTCCCAGTCGCTCGATCATTAGTTACCAGCGCCACGTGCGACGTGCAACGTATGGACAATTTTCGAACAGATTTCGCATGTCGATATTTACGAGTTTCCGGTATAATGAATAAAGTTATATCTTTGTAATGAAACCGTAACGACTATTCGCCTCGAGTTACTGTAATATTTTTTTAGATCACTTGAACTGTTGAATCATACCATTTATTGGGATATTATTGAAAAGTATTGTTATAATGTTTTAATAATTATACAGTTAAGAAGAGATTATTCAGTTTAATTAACCAGAGCGGTAAATTCAGTCGTAGATAATATTAAGAATTTCGTCTGAATGAATTTTGAAATTTTTAATTTTCGAATTTATTACTTTGGTATCATTAAACTTTTGTTTCTATAAATTTTTCAGTCAGTATATATTTAAGAATTTGTCAACTGCGTATCCATTTTTTCAATCAGTATAAAAAGCTATATTAGTGTACAAATAAATTTATAAGAAATCATTCCGTAGAAAAATATCAATCGCCAATCAATTTCTCATGCAAAAGACTATTGCGAAATTCGCGCAAACAAATGGGTTTATATGGAAAAGACAAGAAAAGCGAAACAGTCACACGTACTTATAGTGCATAGGCGATTCAGAAGCTTGAATGCCGTTGCGGTTTAATGGACTCTTGAGCATCGAGTTTATTTTCGCGTTCAATATGTCAATCATTAATCCTTTTTTTCATTTCTTTCTCACCTATTCTCGCGCTTCGTTAGATATTTCAATCCCTAATCGACGAATACGGACATTCGATGTACCTTACGTTCCCAATTACTAATGCCAATGCGTCGCGTACATCACGCAGACGATTTACTCGTGTACAATCCTCGTTGTTATTTCCTTATCGAGTGGAATGACCGCGATTCGCTTAATTCAATTTCCATGTTTATAGCTTTCGCCGATTAGTTTTTGTCATTCTCACAATCGTGTAATTGTAGCGGTTTGTATTCCTCTAGAATAATACAAATTTATAGATTTATTACATAAATTTTCTCGGAATATAATAAAATTTAGTTTTGCTTTTACGTACACATGTATTTGCATTAACGGAGTAACTAATCAGTAATTTATACGTTTCATAGGAACAATCGAGTTAATTTAATTATAACAAAAAATTACTCAAATGGTTCAGACAATTCAAATATTCGGACCTTTGTTCATTCTAATTTCAAATCGGTCTTTAAACGCAAAAATAATAGTATTATTGACATTTTCATGTAAAACTAATATCAGATCATAGAAGAGCACGCTAAAGAAACCCTATATGGGATTTCGAAAGAAATGACCATCTTTTTTAATCGAAATTGTATGCCAAAAATCGCGCGCACAAAAAACTAATTTAGCATGTTTTTTTGGATTAAACGTGACTGTAGGTAATTTAACAAAAAAAAATGCGTTGACGTGAAATTTAATTCTTAGAAGATGACAATTTAATTTACTATTAACTCAGTTGAGAAAGAATATTCTAAATGAAGAGTATTGTAAATGTAAAGAATATTGTAAATGAAGATAATTTTTTTTAATGACTTTTTTCCTCAATAAGTCGTTGAGAAAGCGCTCAAAGAAAGTATACAATGTTTTTACCTCACAACATTTTAGTTATAATTGTAGATGTTTTATCTAATGACTGACAGATTGAGGTAGCCGTGCGAGTAATCCTCATAAATATTCATTATATTCAATTTCTCAAATCACTGATTTTATGATCGGGACTATACAGTTTCAGAAACAAACATGTTGCAGTCAGACGTGGAATGAAGATTTATTCGAGATTCGATATCCGATCGTATAATCTATTTGTTTGGACTTTTTGTATCATGAGAATTGAGCAACTTACCGGTATCGTTGCTTTGAGTGACGTTCGTAAGTCGGCCGTTAAGCTCGGTGGGCACGCTACCATTGTTATTGGTGCCTCGAAATCGTCCGAGCTCATCGTTGCACGCTACGTTGTAGCTTGTAAGTTTGATGTCTCGTTGTGACTCTACGTCGTATTCGTCTTTCACGTCGTAGCGTGACATTTTTCTTTCTCTCTCTCTCTCTCTCTCTCTCTCGCTCGCTCTCTTTCTCTTGTCAGCGCTCGTGGTCCATTGATCTTGTTTACTTCCGTAAAAATACGTATAGCAGACAGGTAAGACGAGTTTCCGTCCCCTGTTTTCTTGCCTTCTTTGTTTAGCTCTTAATGGAGGGCGGTAAAGAGATGCACGAGGGGAGCCTCGAACGAAGTCTTCGAAAGTGCGGCCTTCAGCTGGTCGGCATTGTCCGACGACGGGGTGAGTTCTGTAATTTAACAATGGGTCACATGTTATGAGCTATTGCGTCTTAAACTCACGCGAACTTTTCTTCTCCTTTACGCGCGCGTGCATGCGTCGACAATGGTGTTTAGTTCACGAGCGAGGTTGGCGTTAAAACCTACTCCGTTCGAGTGTTGCGACTTCTTTGTTTTTCCTACTCTGAACTTTTTGTACGCGCACGTGCGACAGGTGAATAGGAAAGAAGGCTATTTGCAGAATTCACGTTTATTTCTTCATCGAGTGGTCGATTATGTTATTCCGTTAGTAGAGATATAAAAGCTTTTATAGGAAAATGTTATGGATTGCTCTCTTTCGTAAGCAATCTTTTTGTCTGCTTGTAATTTGGAAACAAAAAATCTGTAATAGTTTGAATGTAAAATTGTTTTTGTAAAAAGTTCAAGTTACTTCATTGCGAAACGAATTTGCAGTAAAATCGTAAATCTCGACAAGCTGTGTGTGTGTGAGAGAGAGAGAAAGGTCTATGTATATAGCTCGAAGACGAACTGGTTATGCCATAACTGTAGCCAACTGACAGAGAAAAAAGAGAACAAATGCCGGCTTTGGAGAGAGAGAGAGAGAGAGAGAGAGAAAGAGAGAGTGTGTGAGAGAGCAGAGCGGGCGAAAAAATGCACATTAAAGGCGGAGGGGGAAATAGCTGCGCAGCAAGATGCAACGTAAAATGCAAGAAAACAAGGATCGAATGACAGGATGCGTGGACGACCAAAAAGGGAGAAGAATGCCGGTACTGGTTGGCATCGCACGCGCACGTGTTTCGCGCGTCGAAAAGTGGTCAAGGTCACCGAGGGGGAGAAGTGCAAAACACGTGCAGGGACCCAAAGCAGACACTGCCGCAGCTCGGCAAGCATCGCGGGCCCTCACCTATGCGTGCATATAGATATCTCATTCTCTCATTATGTAACCGGGGTGGGGACTTCCTTTTTGATTCCAAAAGCCACCACTGTGCACACTGCACACACGCTTTGTCTGCGACGCGCCAGCGAGCTACGCCATACGGCTGCAGTTCTATGCTGAATATGCACACGTAGCGACCATTCCTCAACAACTAATTCAACGCTCAGTTTCTGTTCATTAAAGCGATCTTTTTTATCGTTTGACTCTCTCTCTCTCTCTCTCTCTCTCTCTCCCTCCCTCTTTCTCTCTCTCTCTCTTCGTCTATCTCTATCACAGTTAATGTGTATCTGTTCGTCACGTGTACTTTGAGTGAGTACAATTTTTCATTTTATATTTACTAAAAAATGTGGATTTTTTATTTGGAAACATAATGTGCCATTTGTTTTTTTTCTTCATTCTAACAATGTAATCATTATATTTTTTTGTGATACGAACAAGTTATCGGACAAAGTCTCGATCCGATGATTATTGATGCCTGCCGTCGAATACTATAAATAATACAAATTTGGTTAGCTATAGTTATTTATTCAGGGTCCTATACATTTATATCTGTATAAAGGAAATAAAAGAAGGGAATGTTTTCATATGATTCAATTAAGTATCTTTAAAAACACGTGTAAATATTGATCGATCATTTTATTATGACTTAGATGTATTTAAAAATATTTTTTGCTTATCGTGCTTCTATATCTATAAAGTTGGATGAAAATGCATTACTATTTTTTTATCCATTATGAATTTTGGCATTTTTCTGGTTATAAGTTAATGCTAATAAATGAAAGTCGAACAGGATAAGTTATACCACGTGTAAAATAAAAATCTCAAGTGTTTTATGGGTGATATAAAATTTGCAAACATGTCTAATTATTTTTTCGATAATAAATTTACGAAAATTGAAAGAAAAACATGGCAAATTATTTGGTATACCATGAATGTCATCTCAGCAGTCACTAGTATTCAACATATCTCCATTCATTTGATAATCATAGAGTCATGTGACCGAATTATATCAGCGCATTCAGTAGAGGTGAAAGAAAACCTTGTAAAGATTAGCTTAGTGATAGTCACAAACGATGTTACAGCGCTCAGCACATAATCGATTGTTCCAGTCATGCGCGCATAATAAACTACTCGCGATTGTTGTATACACACAATTCCACTGCAAACGACCGACGCGTACTGCGCGAAATCGGATACATTTCCGCGGCAAGTGTCTCTCGCTTTCTTTATATTTTTTTTATTTTAACTATGCGCATCTTTTAACGCTATCACAGCTCTTCCGTTTCCGTTGCACTGCACCTGAACCTCTTTTAGATTAACTCTGACGTTTTTATACTTCGGTTGCTTTTTTCTACTTTTCGTCAAGGACGAAATTCAATGTGCATGACGACGTGTTTAGCATGGGGAGACTCACGATTTATTGATGATAACAATTGTAAACAACGAAATCACGCAATAAAATATTTCCAGTCATTACAAAAAATTTACAACTTGGTCGTTCATTTGACACAGTTTTGAATTGTCCGAGAACTCGACAATCAAAGTGATGGAATCACCAATTTGCCAAGTCAACATTTTCAAACAATCTAAAAAGAAATAAAAACGCATAATGGCCAACTCACCTGAATTGCGTGAAACATAAAAAAGAAAGACAACAAAAGTATGCTCGCATAGGTAACGACGTTTTGCAATGTTACATTTAGAAATTCCGAAATTGCACTGATAAACATGAATGATCAAAAAGTGAAAGGAAGGCGTTGAACTTTTCTTATATTTTTTTACGTCGATGGCTCGAAAGAGTATATGGCGCGTCGTGTGTCAATGCTCCTGCCGGAAATCCCCACTCATAACTATACACTTTGCTTTATATGTATCGTCCGTTAAACGTTAGGCGGGACAGAGTTACACTAATGCGGCATAAATATTTGAGACAACACTACGCTACTAAAACTACAAAGAAATATAAGTGTGCAATGCGCGCAAGCTCTAATCGAGATCAGTCGCGACGTCTCATTCGATCAAGTATCTGCAAGTTTCGAAGTTTGATTTTAGAACTTTAAATATATCACATTGTAACATGGGGATTACTGAGTTTAATAAACATACGAACGGCATCATGAGAAACGGCTTGTTCATTTAACGTATACCGATATCAGGTAGTTTGAGACAGCAGTAAGTAATATGGCGATAAATGTACATCTCATTTGTATTCAATGGATATTCGAGTACGTGAAACGTACACTTGCGAACAAATAAAATGTACTTTTCACGTCGATCACAGCGAGCAACCACATTTTCGCGCCCAAATGTCTGACCATATTAGACTTCTTACGCGCAATATCTCGGCAACTGATGAGTAGCCTCGCAATAAAAAGGAGAATCACATGTAATCGCGCAACGGCAGATAGCGCGTGACCGCGAAATCGCCGGTTTTCCCTCGATCATCACGCGCGCAACATTTTTATCGAGATACAATCGCGCGCATACACGCGAGCTTTTATTTTCTATCGTGCGATCGGTCGTCGTGTTGCGGAGTTTTAGCAAGCCCTGCCATTTGGTGTAATGATACGATAACGATTACGAGTGAGTTGCTGTGATTCGACGATTCTAGACGAAAACTTATACAAGCAAGCGCCCGATACAATTTTTGCTTTCGCATTTTCCTCAGCCAATTATTCAAATTGCATTGTGGACACAGTGTTGACAAAACATTATACTTTTAATAATGAGAGTTGTAGGGAGATCATCTTGCGATTTCGGTGAATTGTAACTTTTTTCGCCTATAAAATTCGAGTGTATGAACAATTTATGCGATCAATGCATTTGAGAATTTCGTTTTTAAAATGGTTGCTGCAAAAGTAATAGCTGCATAAGTCATCCTACTAATAAATTTTTTGAAAAAATAATCATGAGTAAAAGAAGTTTTCGACAAAAGAAGTTTATGCTAATGTTTCTGTTTCAAAAATGTTGCAAGTCCAAGGTTAGTTTCTACCTTTCAAATTAATATTTGAAACCACGTCCGAAGAAAGAATCAATATTCTTTTCAAACTCAAAAGATTCTCATTCCTAAAGTGAATATGCTGGCTACTGAAACAATAAGCTTATTACGTAATTAAAATCTTAATTACAGTTAAACATTAAAACGTAGACATTTGTAAAAATATCAAATGTATGAACACTCATTCAATCGAAATGCTATGACGAAAACAATCACGATCACGTTTGACGTTACACATAAAAAGGATAAAAATAAAATCGCAACGCTAAATTCACTTTCGCACTTCATTTCGTCACACGAAAGTTAGAAATAATAATGTAACATTTCTGAAATGCTCAAGCGACTTACAGAATGTCAAGTCAAATAGAAAGATCCGAAAGCACATAGTCGAGTCGTGCAACAAGGACGAAGCAATCATAGAAAATTTCACCGAAGCCCGAAGTGTATGTACTCGGAGCACGCACTTCGTGTCGCACGCATCCAATATGACGCTTTCTCTACCGCGATTTAAAACGAAGGAAAGATGATTTCGGTGCGAAACTTTTGAGCCTACTGACTCGTGAAGGTGGCATATATGCAACGTCGACCGACGATGTACCGTTGGTCATGCGCTTTCATCAATATATGCCTTGACCGGCCAACCATACGCTCCACGCGTTATTTATTGTAATGTAATGTATACGTGTACTGACTCCTCTCTCTCTCTCTCTCTCTTTCTCTCTTTCTCTCTTTCTGTACCCTGCACCTGCCTTTCAACTTTGTTTTTCTGTTCCAAGACCTGTTTCTGTAATTTTACCTATACTGCATAGACTGGCGTCCTTTGAATATCTTTGAAATCCCAGTCATTTTTAATAATACAAGTACCATGTAAGTAATACAAAATACACGTTTTGTTTGATTACGTTAGTTTCTTTTTGCTCGAAATACGTTTTGATTTTGATAAAGCATCTTGTAGATGGCTGACTAGAATTCCTGAGCTACATTTGAAAATGTATCTATTGCTCATTCTTTAAACGTTGAGAGTGATTTGAATCACGTATAAGGAATTGCGATAATTTGGCCATTTGGTATCAATATTTTATTACTGAAAGAGGCAGCTGTCATAAAGATTAATAACATGTGCGTATGTTATAAGATTTAATTCAACTGCAGGAAAAAATGTATGTTTAATCATTTAATTAACAACAGCGATAAAAAAAAAGGCATAGGTTGCTTTTCGATAATCTTAGTTAATAAAAATGTTCATCTTTGTCGGACAATTTTTAACGTGCGAGTGACGAATATTTGGTAAATAAATTATCGGTTTTACATATCGCATTGTTACGTAGATGGCATTCCGACGTTAATCATTGCGAGGTTATTCAAAAACTGCATCACGTAGTGTAAAACTCCAGCTTAACCATTTCATAATCTTTCACGAATCCCCCTCTCCCGTTTGTTTTAAGAATCCGATCACTCTTCAGTGAAAAAAGTTACGAGGAAAATTTGACAAATACGTATCTCGTAATAAAAAAATATGCCTACTCGGCTGACAAGTCACGATCGATTGTGCAATATTTGTCTCCTCCATTAAGTTCGCGCATATCAATACGAATGAAAGCGTGCGCGCCGCAGTCGCAAAGCCAAAACAAGAAGCACGCGCGCATTGTCTCCTTCGTTTTTAATACGGTAGCGAGGGACGCGAGATAATGACTGTTAGAGGAAGCTTCGGGCTATACCGGTATCCTGACACACAAAATGTGACTCAAGCGATTTGGCGGTCTCTGCTGGACCTTACCAGATTTTCGCGCGCTCGCCGCAGCGTGTATTCGCTTATTATCTCAACATACTTTTGTTCAGTCAGTTCTGATTGATGCTTAACTTTTGCGCTAGTAAATCTATACTTCATTTGGCTTTTTTCTGATTATTTCGGAAATTTATCTCGCAATAGCGTACGAAAAGTGCTGGTTCATTAGTCGAATTATACTAGCTTCTGAACGTGCCTTTCGAATAATTGTCTTTAATCTCTGTACCGCGAAATATAATTTCGACTGAAAATTAGTTGACCGTCGTTATTTTTATTTCCTACGGCGTTTCGTAACTTTTTCGATGCGTATTGACTATTTTTGTTATGTAATTTCTTTTCTGCAGAAATAATGTGCTCTTTTTGAAGCAAAAGTATTTACGCTGCTGTTTGTTTAATAAATATACACTTCAATAGCACGATGCAAATGACAAATAATTCGTTTCCCGAACAATCGCCATTGCTCGAATGGATTTGATTAATTTTTTTGCTTAAATATGCACGTAACAAACTGTTAGTACAAGCTTTTTTTCTGAAAGAACGCGGCATTACTTCCTTTTTACTTGAACTCTGTCGAGGTCAATAGCTTTATTTTAAAAAAATATATAACAGAATAATTTCAAGTAGTACGATGTGAATAACGTGCGTGTGTCTGGTGTGAATGTAATAATGCGAAATTTCCTAAAGTAATGGAGCATGATCTTTGCATTGAAAAATCTCATGCAATTTGTCTTCATGAAAATAAAACACGCTCGATTGCTAGCTATTCATCCTCCATTAAAATTACAATTATCTTCATCTTTATTACACAAGTTGATAATTTTTCAAATGTAATCCGTGTATTATATTTCGAAGGGCTTTCGACTTTTCGCGGTCAAAGCGATCACCGATTTTACGTAGTAGATGGAAAAAATGTTGTTTCCTTTTTGTTTGCGTCGTGTCAGTGTCCACGTGACTGTTATCATTACTCCAGTGATGTCCTGACAAATTTAAGCCTAGTTGAAATATCGCCACATTACACTACTATATTGATCGAAAATTGCAGCAATACAACCGGTGTATTAAAGGTAATTAAGCAAATATGCCGTAATAAGCGAAAAGAATTTTCGGTGTTCGGTGAAATAAAGATTTCTTCGGCGAAAAGCGTGGTGCAGCAGTGATTTTTTATTTCATTGCTCGTGTTAAAACCATCAGTGGTGTTGGTGAGCGTTTATGCACGCGTAAAAGTATCTGTGTGTATGTGCATACATAAATGTGTGTGTGTGTAGAGAGAGAGAGAGACAAATTGCCCGGTACTCGCGAGCGAGCACTAGCGCGGGCGTAATCACGAAATCAAAAGAATTTTCGCTTTCGTAATAGTCGCTTTTATATACACAAACGTACCATTAGCTGCCTGAACTGCCGTGAATCTTGCGCTCCTCTGCAACGACGTCTGCTAGTGCGCCCGCGCTGACGTCACTTCCGCCGGTTTTTCAAATCCAAGTCCCATTTTTCCGCGAGATTACGTTCCATCCAGATTCTTCGCTGATAATCCGGCAACGGAACAGCTAAACTATTAATCACGAGGTTTTGTCCAGGCAAATGAAAAATAAAAAAAAAAACGACACTCGGCTACGCTTGACAATCTAACTCCACGTTTGGTTTTGTCGTTGCGTTTTTTTTTTCTTTTTGCTTCGCTTATTAAGTTCCGTCACTTGCTTTATTAGACTGTTTCTTTTTACTATCAGACTCGGATACCGCGACGACGTCGATCGTTCGTAAAGGCGAGCACTCGGTCTACTGTGGCGCTAGCGCACTCGCGCACGGTTTTATGCTCTCTGATCGGAGTTGTGCGCTGCTGAAAGAACGAGAAAGAGAGCGAGAGAGAGAGAGAGAGGAGAGAAAGAGCGAGAGAAACAGTCCCCGCGGGGCCCCGGCCGTGTTCCAGTCAAGCGCAAGCTTCATTATAGTCATACTGGGGTTCTTCCCATTCGCCAGAGTGGAGAGAGAGAGAGAGAGAGAGAGAGAGACAAAGAAAGATGCTAAAACTAACAGATGTGTGAGAATTCACTCCTTACCTCCACCCTTCATTTTTCAGCCCCCTTTGCTCCCTGAATTTACCTTTTTACTTGGGTTTTTGCATCTGTATTCTCCTGAATTTTATCATTCTACAGTTTGGTATCTTTTCTGTGTCTTTGTTTCACTTTCAAATTCTATATATTATTTTTATTTGTGAAAATAACAATAACACTCTTATAATATCTCATCTTGTCAATATTTCATTTTGTCCACTTGACAACATAATTTAAACTTTCAATACTGGAAACTGAAAAATACTCGATTGAATCTACATAAATGCTGCATATACAAAAAGTCCTAGAAAATTTCTTAAATGTTGAAAAATTACGCTTTTTTGATTTAGTTAGACCGTATCTTGAATATAAATGAAAGTAAAGCTTCTTTAAAGTTGTTTGAAAATGAATGGTAAGAGGGTTAAACGCGCTCTTCAAGTTGATATTAATATTCAATGTAGAGAACATCTGCGATTTCTTTTATCGAGCTATACAAATTTCTTTATTTCTTAGATACTTGATATATCTAGCGATATTACGTGATTTCAAATGCTGGTGGTAGTTTTTATTTACAATCGTCAGGAGATACCATTAAGCAATATAGTCATTATTTCATTTGTTGTCTTGAGAACATTTTTAAACAAATGTCATTGTGTAATTTTTGCTTTTGCCATTCAGATCAGTCTCGTGATTCAAAATGATGCTACACGATAAATAACGTTTTAGAACGCGTTCTCAAAAATAAATGATGTTTGATAAAAGTTTTAAACAATCACATGAAGTTTTTAGCATATAGAAAATGAAACCTAAAGTTTAATGAAAACGCATACATATAATCCAGAAAATTTAACATTTAATCAATGTAGTGTAGCATTCATTATGCTTCAAATATAAATTGTTAAATAAAATTATTAATTGTTGTGCGCTGAACGCATATAACATCATTATATAGTGTAAATCATATTTGATAATGATATAAAAATCTAAAGTGTTACTTATCTATGTTTTATATTGTTAGCCCAATTTTATCGTCACTGTAAATAGTTACTTCTAGCATAGTTTTATTGTGAAAACAAAATAGTTAGTCGTGTATCCGATACTAGTTATATACTTTTTCTGTTGATGATTACGTAAAAGTATTTTCTCTTTAAATTTGAATGCATACACTATCACTCGTTCAAGGTCGTTTGTATTTGGGAAATTCTAAATAAACGTAGAATTTTTCGGAGTTTCAACTATAACCCGCGCAACCTAAATATTGTGACGAGGTGGCCGAGTGGTTAAGGCGTTGGACTGCTAATCCAATGTGCTCTGCACGCGTGGGTTCGAATCCCATCCTCGTCGGAGGTTTTTGTCAATTTTGAATGAGATCGAAAATCATATTATACTTTTATTAATAGTCATCGGAATATAATACTCATTTAAAAAATCTTATTCTCAATTATTAAATATTTAAATTTGTAAAATAAAATTAAATCTATATTAAATCTATATTATTTATCTCATAGAGCGATTCTTTGATCTTTTTTCGAAACATGAATAAATCGGCAGTCAATGATGAATAACGTTTATCGTTATGATGAATAAAAATAATAAATACTTATACAAAATGCCATATAACTTGAAACAATTGATTATTGTACATGCTTTGACGTAAAATATTTATTTAAATATTAATTTTTGTACAAAATTGATATTAATTTTAATGTAATATAGTTAACACGAATAATCTGTACAAAAAGAATACATACTAAATCACATTGAAAATTTATGTCAGAATAATAATTTTATTAATTTTAGACGAAATGAAACTATTAATTAGTATACTAAGATTCCTTTCCTACCGTTATTAATGAATGCTGTTCTTAATTATATTTTAATTTTCCGTAATTAACATAAGTTTGATATCACAAAGGTCAATAATAACTCATAATTCTATTTATTTTTTAAAGTTTAAATAATAAGCATTCTCATATTGCAAAAAGTAGAAAGACGTTCATGTTGATAAGAATGCTCGCTGTCGAAAAGAGCAATGAAACTGTTGTACCGATGGAAACACTGGATTCTTTTATTCGCGATATTCGCGTTGCCATTCAACAGTGGATGGAGTAACTGTAGCTGTTATGTGATATGCACATATATCAGTAGTACTACGTGCGCTGTTGGTTTACTCTAGCCACTATGTATTTATTAAGAGATGACAGTTTCTTATCTATGCTGCAACACATGCAAATTGCACAATGTAACAGTCTGTTTAATATGTATCATATATATAACAAGCGAATATGTTATATGATCTGAGGCTTAAAGCGCATTGCAAGGTCATAATATAAATGATTTTGTTCAGTGCAATATTAGTTTTTGCGTGCTAACCACCTGCTATGGCATCTGAAGAAACTCCTTTGTTGAGTGAGTTACTTTTGTTATCTCTTAAAACAAATCTTGTCACTACAATCGACATTTGATTTTAATAAAAATAGCGCACAGCATTCTTAATTATATGTATATCTTATTGATTCTTATAATTGTGTTTCTTTTATTTAGATAAATAGTATTTTTTCGAAATTATTATTTGACAGTTAAATAAGTAATTTAAGTCAATTACTTCAGCAAGCTGTAATAAAGATTCAAATCAATGTTAAAAAATAGTTAAGTTGATAGAGTAAAAGGTTTTTACACACGAATTTTTAAAAAAATTCTTTGTCTTTATTTTGTTATTACTAAATTTTTTAAAGATCTAGTTTTAAATGGCAGGTTATGTTTTCCTAAAATTGTTGTTGATTAAATATTGAAAAATTCAAATTTTGTCATTTTATAAGTAATATATTTAATTCGCTTAGAAATCATTTAATATTATTTGATTATTACAACTATACATACTTTAAAATGTATATCAAAATTTTATGAGCATGATCTAGAAATATTTAAATCGTTTATAACAGTTAGTATGTAAGTTGGCAGTCGTGGCCGAGTGGTTAAGGCGTCTGACTAGAAATCAGATTCCCTCTGGGAGCGTAGGTTCGAGTCCTACCGACTGCGAGAAATTTTTGTGATTTGATTTTTTTAAAGATGTATTTTATTATTACACAAAAACATTCACAAAACATAAACTTCATAAAATACCTAAAAATATTAATTTATTAATTTAAACTCTATAAAAACTTTTCTTTTAAAAGTTTAAATATTTAATCAATAAAAAAAGGTTCGATGGTATTAAAAAATATTCAATTAGTGAAAAAAGCTTTTATGAATATAGTTCAAAGTGTGAACAGTCTGAACGTTATACGGTACAGTTTGAAAAGTTAATCCTATTTTTATAAAAGTATTTATGTGTAAGCGTGTCTCATGTTTGCACGTGAATATCTTGAATTTGTGGCGTATTCTGAGATAAATATAAATGTGTTAAATACCACAAATTAAAACAGTAAAGCGTGTGATTTGGACGAGAGTACCAAGTAATTTGCGGGTCTTGACATCATACATAACGGTAGAGCACGTGATATGCAACCAGTTACGCACACATGTACAATCGCATACACGTGGTAGCCTAATTTATCGATCAATAGATAACAAGTTTATTATTTTTCAATTGTTGTTTCGTGCATGTGAATTAACGAATTATTATAAAACATTATGTCATTGTTTTTCATATATTCAAAAAAAGGCTATTTTAAAAAATTGGACAATAAGTTATAATTTTTTAATGTATCACATTTATTATTGTCCTTGGAAACAAAAAATTTGCTTGATTAATTATGAAGTTCATTATTAATTGTGCATAAATCTGGAGTATTTTCAAAAATTTGTTCAAAATAAGTGAATTACTGGATGCATTTTTTTAATTTGGCAATAAAGAATAATAGATAAAATCATTTTTTCTTGATCTATATATAAAGCTAAGCAATTTTTTATTTATTATATTTCTTTGTAAAGACTATTCCCGCGAACTTCCACGCTACTTAATAAATAGAGATATCTTATTTTATTCTCCACTTCAGTTTAAAAAATTTTTAAAACTGTAAAACTTCCCATCTTGCAAATTTTTATCATTTAGCTAAAAAGTTTCATTTACCAAAGTATTAGTCTTCCTATATTTTTTAAAAGTTAGAAAGTGACTAGTATTTGTCATTGCACGCATTTGTAAAGGTACTAAAAACAACAATTCGCGTAGCTTGCTAACTTATACAGATATTTTGCCACTTCCGAATAAAAAAAACATTTCATAAACGGACAGCCAATCAATAAAGCAATATTCCTTTTTTCAAGGAATCAAATATCAGATCAAATCAAAGAAATATTTCGAATTTTCAAAGAATTTGAATATTTTGTATCCAAAATAAATGTTTAATAAAGTATATGAATATTATGTATAGCTTAAACGGCTGTACGAATATTTAAATTATTACACTATCCGTTATTATTACCTCATAAATAAAATTATAAATATGTATAAATAAATAAGATATCTTTGAACGTATAATTTATCAGTTATTGAGTCCGTCGTCTTTAAGCTTTGTTTTCGGTTTTATTGAAAAACTTGATTTTTACTCCAGTTTTTTTGTTTTTGTCACTATATGCTTCAATTTTAGTTTTTTATAAGACTGAAGGTCTGGCGTAGAATGAGTGTATAGTTTTTTATAGATATTTTATTGAAAATGATGGGGAAACGACAAAATCACGTTCAGTTATAATCTGTGCAGGAGAGAATTTTTTTTTGTTTAATTGTGATATTTTTGTTATTCGATGGATTTTTTATATAGTTTTTATGTATGTAAATAATAAGATAAAATAAAAAAGGTTTTCACAACAGCCACGAAGATTAAATACATTGGGAGGGCCAAATATAGTTAAACAGGGAAAATTGAGAGTGTTTTTATCATTGTGTAAAAATCGTTTTAAAAAAGATATCGACTTGGAACTTTGTTCATCTTAAAGTACTTAGTAAAAATTGTGATTTTCTTTATTATGTATCTTAAAATCTGAAATTTATAGTTCACAGCTATACGCTCCACAGCCTGACACTGAATATTTAAGTTTTATTATGTTTAAAAAGAAGTTTTTTTGAATTTCATTAAAAAAATAGTGTGAAAATTTTAGAAAACAATATAATATAATATATAATAATAAATTGATAAAAATGAAATAATTCGCCGATACGCTGATGGAAAACAAAAAATACATCTATTTTAACGTTGTGAAATTTCTATCCAAGATGACTATAAAGACTGTTAGGTCAAATCAAGAAAGAATGTTTTGAATTCCACTAAAAATTCTACTTTAACTATTATGATTTGAGTCAATGCCAAAATTTTATTATCAATATAAGATACATAAAGTTATCAAATAAGCAATTGTTCTCGCCAGGAGGTCAAATGGCGTAGATGTACTGAAATCGTTAATTCGGAAAAGACACATGACAAGCCAGATAGGAAAGTGACGAGCTTTCGGGTGCGATTAAGACTCGTGACAATAAAGAGCAGCTCAACGCACAACAAGTGGCTTTTTATCAGCGAGCGAGCTTTCAATGCGACTAGAGAACAAAAAAAGAAAACGAGAGCGAACACCGACAGTCGCAATGTCGCGCCCATTCTCACCGGTCGCGTGTTCAATGACGTCCGTTTTGTCGACATTGTAACTTAAACCAGAACTATCTCACCTGCAACATACGTGTCTCAATGCCCGACAACGACGCCTCTTCCATTTATCACTCAGGTACTTTTCATTTTTCAATTCGCATTAATTGTATCAATCTCAGTAATTTCGCCAGTGACATTCAATTATCTGTCGTCTGTGCAAAAGATTGATGTCGTATGCGTATAAGGCGTTAAATGGAATTTGTTATCTTTCGTCTTTCAACATTTGCAACAGTAAAATGTTGGTTGATAAATTAGGAAGATATTGATTGGTTTGTTCAGAAATTTATTTTCTAATCGCGCAGAAATCAGAAGTTTATTTTGAATGAAACAATTTTCAACCTCAACACACTTTCGTGAGCTGATTCTGCAATGTTTGGAAAATGAAAGATAAAGCTCATCAGTCAATGTGGCTTTTCAATGTTCATGAATAGCAAACATTGTTTCGAAGACCTTAATGGCAGCGTAAAAAACGTATTTTTCTCTTTAATCAAATCACTTGGAAAAATCATTAAGCCGCCATTAAAATGATATGAATTCATAAATTTACTGCATAACGTGTTCCAGGAACTGGTTTTTTCACCTGTAAAAGTGTGCGTGTATAAGCGCTTTAACAGAGATTTTAATAATCGTGAAAATCACAAGATATTTTGAATTGTTAATTTTATTTGACATTTTCATTCAAATGACGGCACATATCCCGAATGAGGTTTTGTATTCTGTGATATTATCTACTGCATGTAAAGAAAATTGTCAATTGCCCGAGCAATTGAAAATATTTTCAAACACAAGAGGAAATATATTGACATATTTATTTCGAAATTATTTAGCTAATAAAAGTCAGTAACAGTTGCCATTGTACTCGAATAAATGTATTCACGCGCTCAATTGACGATTATATCGGAGTAAGCAGCGAAGCGTGTAGTGAGAGGACCACAAACGGTTGATGGTGCAGAGGTTGTGTCTTATATGTCGTAGCACTTGATTTTGGCAGCAGTTGGAGATCGTCCCGTGAGATTCGGTACACCCGCCCAATCGAACTTTCCTTTCTCAATTCAGTCTGATAGTCAAGGGCTTCTCAAACTCTCCTGTACTACCGCGTGTGCACCACCACCGCCCGCTTCCATTTCACAGTCGATGCTGATTGGATTTTCCGCTTGCTCAGAGTCTACGGACTGTAGCAGCCTTTCAAGCTTCGTTTCATTTTCTGCAGGACACAGGTACTTTAACTATCATTTCATTGAAATTACTTTTCTTTTAATTCGCAGTTTCACTTGAATATTGTAATTCAATAGAAAGCTCGAATTAATTGACAATTTTCTTAGTAACAGCGCTCAAGATTTGATTTGACAGAAGATAAAGAGTTTGTTCAAGTGAAGCCAACTATACGATTGATACAAGGTATAATACGAGAACCCATGTACTTTTAATCAATGATTATATATATTATTTAATATGTTAGCTTATGTTATCGTATATCTGATTTATACAACCTATTTACCATCTCGTATTAAATTTGTAATTGATGTTAAATTTACGGAAGGTTTTTTTATTGTTTAGTATCAGTTCTCGAGCCATTAACAAGCCAACGCATGTTTATAAATTGAATTAACGAAGTTTTGAGTGGCATAGTCGGCAGGTATATAAACAACGTAACCGAAGAGTAAGAGGTGATTATCGAGTTGCTTACGTAAAAAAAAAAAAAGAATAACGGCACCCGCGATATAGAAAAGACGTAGTTGCTCGAACGCGTTCTGATGAGTGTCGGTCGATGCTGCTCGTTGCGGTGTTATAACAGTGATTTTTTGCTTGCTAGTGGAATTAGAAGCTGTTTCTAATCCCCGGTGAGTATCTACTGTTTCCTCGTGCACGCCTGGAATAACCATAAGTCTTACAGCTCTCGGCTACTCGCATAGTCATGCCAGTGCAGTTTATACGTTTCGTTTGTACTTGATAGATGTTACACATCATAGTAGTAGTTATATTGCAGAGGAAGCTTTATCTGTGTTTCAATTTCCGCTGTTTTGGTTTTGTTCATATTGTATGCTCTGATTGTTGCGAAAGGATGACCAAATACTATTTCGTTAGAAGTGAGAACAACTCCATCATATATCGACTTTTCAAACAGGATGTGCTCTTTTTCATACTAGTTATCGCTTTATTATATTACTTAAAATAGTAGAATGAAATTTGATAAAATAAATACAAGAAACTAAATTGTAAAGATAAAATTTATGATGGCTTTTTGCTAAATCGAGTCTCCTTCAAATCTGTTTTCGAATTCCATGTAGTAGATAAAGTGACATACGTTTTTTTATCAATCAAAAATTGGTGAAAATGTTTTGTTATTTATTAAAATTCAATTTGAACAATAATTTAAAAAAGATGTTTACCTAGAGTTCTTAATTCTGAATTTACTTTCTAATGTTACATGAAAAAATGCGCTCAACTAATTTTTAATAAAAATATTTTAAAAATTTTGATATATGCGCGTAATTCACCTTAAGCTTTTAGTCTGGCCGTATCACATTTACCCAACATCTCCCTCGTTGCACTTACTGTCATTAAAAGTTACTGAAGACTTATAATCCATAGTAGATTTATGTCAATCTCGTCACGTTATCACACCTTGCTATTATTAGCTTTCAATTATATCGCAGCCTTCGCGACGTGAACCTGTAAAGATTTATTTACACGAAACTCGTAAAAGCATGCATTCTCCATAAAAAAAATGTTTATCTATTTTTACGTTGAAGCAGCATACCGCAGCTAGATATATTTTTCGTCTACTACATAATCATTAAGCAATTGAAACTCTAATGCACGACGTTTCCTGACGCGTTGTCATGCGAGTCTGTACAACGAGACTATAGGTTTACCACTTGATGTATGATCATTCAACGACATGCCGCCATTGCCAACGGCAAGTAATTTGTTTGAATTTAATACGCGCGCCATGATTTGATTACATGCTGTCTTTTGACAAATCCGTCGCAACTCGAAGCGCCAACTCGCGGGAATAATTCGTGATTGTAATATTTTAATGGCGCGGCTGAACGTCGATTGCTGTGTTTGCGTGTGTGAACGAAGTGTATCACGCGCTTGAAAATCGCGGGCCATTAGTTATGCATCACGCACGTGATCGTCTCGTCTCTCTTTCTCCCTCTCGGCAAACTAGTTGTGTGTCTACTGTCTCGTGACCGCTAGCGCCAATGACCGTAAACCGACTCGCGCGCGGAATGAAAAAAAACGAATGCGCGGCAAATCCGATCCGGCCAATCGAGTACAATCGTTAACGTGAGATCGCGCACCTCATTGGTCAATACTGAAATCCCACATCGTTCCACATAGCATATGGCACGGCTTTATTTGCCTTCTTTTGGCGCATGTAGTTCACTTTGAAGATTTCGACAATATTGACTTGTGCGCACGTCTCGAAACATACTTACTTATTTAGCTGATTTTGCAAGTCGAATTCTCGGATTACCGACGACTCCGCCATCTACAATGGGAGGTATTGATACAAACGAGAGTAAAGTATTCTTTTTCACTTCAGCTTCTTTATTTAATCGCAAAGCTACTTTTATCTATATAGTTTCCTTACGAATTGTATAGACATGTATTTACCATACGCGTATCACAAAAACTATTATCACGAATGGGGCAAAGTTTTTAATAATACCGATACTTTCGCCGGACCTTATTATCAATGTCAAGGCTTGATTATGATTTTGCATTAATTCACTAATTGTAAGTTCATTTGTTTTCTCAACGGCATAAATGTATGTGTTTGAGAGGAAAGAATATTCATGCTGTTCAGTTATTAATGCAACTTTTACTGATAAGGGATTCAAGGTCTACCATCTATACCACGCGCAAATGCAAAGTTGTGTGTACAATATATTGCATCCGTTTTGATGTGACAGAACCAAACAATCGTGAGCAAATGTGAATAGACGGTATATTTATCTGTTGGACTTTTGATCATAAATTAGTTTAATAGTTTGTGTTTCAGTAAGTGGAGTCGAGTTTCCAAAACAGAAATTAGATTCGTGTTGTTCGAACTTTGAAACGAACAAATATTTACAAATTTTGATTTAACAAAAAGAAAAATGAATTTTAATAAAAAAAATGAATGACAAGTTGATACTTTGCGTGCGCAATTGAGCATAGCGTTACGAAATAGCAGCAGTCACTATAACGTTTCAGCTGCTTATATATGTGTATAAAAAGTAAAGCAACACAATGAATTTGGTATACAGTTGACAAAGATATTTACAAAAATTGAAGATAAGCACAGTCAAACTGTCTATGAGATAAGACAAGTTTTTACTCGTCACTGAGAAAGTGTCAAAATAGCATTACTCAAAGTTGAAAAATATGAGGAAGCGGATGATCCTCTTTAATGCCAGGTTCTCGAGAAACCGACATTTGCGTTTTACGTTATAGCCATACTACACGGGGTGAATGAATACGGAAAAATTGTGTTTATAAAGATTTTAATTTTATTTGTTGAGGTAACTCGAAGAACCATTTGCACAAAAATTTCTTATCTCCGTTAAAATCAGCTGCATTCTATCAAAAAGGATTATCAGCGCTGCGTCTCATTTGTAAATTTGGTTCCTTATTAGGATACTTTTACTGTGGATAATGCAGCAAATAATACAAATGCTTGAAGAATTGTACTTGAATCAAAGATACACTTTAATACATAGAATATTCAGTAAACTGAAGAGGTGCTATTCGTGGCATACTTCAGTCTCGTATAAGTGAAGCAAAACAAAAGTTCAGTGAAATCCGGTCCCTCCGGAAAATAGAAGCGGTTCCCCCGCTCGCGGAAAACGCGAAAGTCAAACAAGACACGAGGAGCCGGCTTTGAAGTTAAACCGCAAGATAAGTAGGTAGCGAGCCGAGCTGAGACGAGCGATAAATGATAAATATACTCGCTCTCCACACGGGCACGAGAAAGTACATTATACGCTGCGCGCCATTCGAGGCTCAGGTGCTCAACTTGACGCATGTGTTTTTGTCACCAGGGAGCGAGATGAGAGACCGTTCCAAGTGCGACCCAAAGGAAACGCTGCGGCGGAGGCTGCCGATCATCAGCTGGCTACCATATTACACATGGAGCACATTCTTGCAGGACGCGCTTGCTGGTGCAACTGTTGGACTCACGGTCATACCTCAAGGCATCGCCTACGCCGTTGTCGCTGGTTTACCGCCGGTGGTAAGTTTACCCCTGCCAATCTATCTTGTTCTGACGGTGTTCTGACCGCTGGTGAGGACGTTTCGCACTTAATTATTTAACCTCGCGTGCATGCTCTTCACCCGCTAGCTATTTCCAGACAAGAATTCGAAAAATATTCGATGTTATATATTAGGCTGTTAATGTGATTTGTTAATGTGCCTCCGAGAATTTACGAAGCTAACTTTTAATTAATATATAACGTGCCAGTTAGAAGTATTTATTTTTGAGAATAGAACGATCAGAATTATGAGTTACATTAAATACTTGTGTGATAAAACCAAACAGAATGTAAAATTGTACTAATATATTGTAAACCTGTTTTTTTTCAGTATGGCTTGTACAGTAGTTTTATGGGATGTTTTGTGTACATCTTCTTTGGTAGTACTAAGGACGTAACAGTAGGGCCAACTGCTATAATGGGTCTACTTTCAGTGACTTTCGTTCGACAGTACAATGAAGACTTTGCCGTAAGATTCTGATTTGCATAAATTATAAATTCATGACATATTGTAGCTTACATTTTTGTGAACTGTGATAAAAATACCGATAGTCATTTTAATATAGCATAACTCGAACTATTTATCGCAATAAAAAATAAATTTAATGAAAGAAAGATTACATCGTTTAATAATCCTAGCCGTAACTTATTGACGCTTAAAATTGATAATCAGGTAGTGTGTATTGACACATGCAAATGAAAAGCAAAACTATTAACCGCGTGAAATGTTTATATTGTTTCTAAAAATATATACTTTCGAGGAAAAACATTGGATTATTAAATCTTCATTTGTGCCATAGTGAGTTCATGACTTACCTTGAGCTCATATGTTTTTGAGAACGATATACGTAGGTGATAGTTCGCAAATAAAAAAGAAAAAGTGCTGACTAATTCTTAATCGCTAACTTTTCCAGAAATGTGATATGATGTCAATTCATGTTGTTTTTTTTCTGTGACAAAGTCGTATTCAAACCGACCAATCAAATACATTTTGATTTTCATGATGAAATAGAAATTGAAATACGGAGTGCCTAATCACCGCGCTATGTATTTTTTACAACCGATGTGCAGGTGCTATTGTGTTTCGTGTCTGGTATTGTGATAACGCTGATGGGTACGATGAAGCTGGGCTTCCTTGTCGACTTTATCAGTATGCCAGTGATTAGTGGTTTCACCAATGCTTCATCCGTTATCATAGCTTCGTCCCAGATCAACACTTTGTTTGGCATCAAGGGCCGTAGCGAAGGGTTCATCGAAGCCATCGAGAAATTCATCAATGGATTTATGGACATTCAACCGTGGGACACTGTTCTTGGCGTTTCCTCCATCATCGTTCTAGTTGTTCTAAAGGTACAATTTATTTTATAATGATCCGCATAAAAGTAAATTTCTAGGATAGCTTTTATCTTAAACGTTGTTGTACGGACAGCAAAAATTCTTTACGTGATTTATCCTTCATCGATGTCCTTAACGGGTGTTCCAATTGGAACGCAACTGCCAATCTCCGACTATTGATTAAGAAAAAAATATTTGATCGATACCATTCATTGATTATTATTGATTTTATCATTTGTAGCGGTACAATACCCCCCCCCCCAGCAGGATATAAAAAGATTGTTTTTAATACGTGAGTTTCAAATATTAAGTACATTTAACAATACACATTGCCAGATATCTACGTAAATTATTTTAATTCCAACGCGGTTAATTATGAAAATGATCGGAAGTAGGTATATTTTTTTTGTAAAAATGTATTATTGATTTCGATATTTAGTAACATTGTCTCTTTGTTTGTAATTGGATTCATTACAAAAAATATAAAAAATCGATTTATGTTATAACTTATTTGCTAAGTGAGAATGTTTTTAGCATACTGAGTTATTGTAAGTCTTTATCAACAATGTCAATTTTCATTTTCATTTCAGAATTTACCAGGCAAAAGGCACGGCAATGCTTGGCAAAGAAGCTTATGGATTTTGTGTTTGGCACGTAATGCGGTCGTTGTTATTTTCGGCATGACACTAGCCTACGGTTTGTCGTTCACGAAGAACGGTGTGCCATTCGTTATCACCGGTAACATCACTGAAGGTCTGCCACCTTTCCAACTGCCTCCCTTCTCTACTACAACGAACGAAACCTATTACGATTTTATGGATATGATGCGCATTTTCGGTACAAGTTCCATCTCTGTTCCTCTCATTGCTCTTCTTGAGAGTATTGCTATTGCCAAAGCTTTTGGTAATTATTAAATTATTAAATCTTTAACCTCATCAGCCCAAAGTTAGCTACTCTATTAGTTAATTAAATAATACCTTTTGAATACCATTATACGATGACATCTTCGTTGATAAAATCAAGTATCTGGCTTAGTTAATAATTTGATTTTTGTGAGCTTTAAAACGATCTTGATTTTCGTACACGTCTTCATCAATTATGATCATACATTTTTACCCTCGATCATCAATACAAACAATTGATTGCATAAGCTTTGTTCTATTTACTATTGAATTGATAATACTATAATATTGATTGGGGAGTGATCTCAATTTATTCATTCAGAATCATTTTCGGTAATTGAAAAGGTCAGCATTTTCGAAAATTTTGATTAAATCTTTTGTTAAACATTAAAAAAATTAGATAGGAATCAATTAAAAAAATTATGGTAATAATCATATTAACATATTGTGAACAGCTAAAGGCAAAACGTTAGACTCTAATCAAGAGATGATTGCCGTGGGTCTGTGCAACGTATTTGGTAGTTTTGTACGCTCAATGCCGACAACGGGAAGCTTCACGCGTACCGCCGTGAACAACGCTTCAGGTGTGAAAACGCCTATGGGTGGTGCAATCACAGGGTGCTTGGTACTTCTCGCTTGCGGACTGCTTACATCAACTTTTAAGTTTATACCCAAAGCTACCCTCGCTGCCGTCATCATCGTCGCTATGTATTATATGCTCGAGATTAAGCTGTTCAAAGTTTTGTGGGACACCAAAAGTAAGTTAAATTTCTTTTGCCGTTTGATCGATAATAGTTTCATTAAAAACTTGGTAATAGCTTTTGTTCTACCGAAATACCTTCTATATAACGAAATACAATATTCTAAGAATTACTTGTAAGCCAAATTTAAATATTGTGTTTTCGTTTTTTTGGTGCTTAAATTTACGAAAATGACGTAGACAAGTATAAAATAGCTGGTATGATAATCTCAATCTTAAAAGAATGTTAATAAATTTCTAATAATTTTAAGTAGCAAAACATTTCTTATCTGTACGTGTCTTTTTTCGAGATACAAAGTCGATTGCTGTGATAACATATTCACTTAAAAATTCTGATAAGCTCTAATGATCTTTTTCAATTGTTAATTTAATTTTTGTCGATCTGAATTGTGTAGATATAAAGGTATCTATAAAATTAAAGTTAAACCAATTATAAATTAAAATAACTTTAATTTAACAATTTACGCATCTATATCACATAATGATAACAAAAAAATGTTAACGATTGTTATAAAAAATTATTATTACAGAAAAATTAAAGTTTTACCTTTGTACAATATTTCACTCATGCAGTAGTAAAATTATTATTGGATATTTAATTTAATGACAATATCATTAACCATAACGTTCGTCATGTACAAATTTATAAATGACACAATAGAAATCTAAAATAAGCCAAAAATTGTTACTTACAGAAATCGATCTGATACCGCTAGTGGTAACGTTAGTAGCTTGCCTATCAGTTGGTTTGGAGTATGGCATGCTTGTGGGAATTGCCACAAACCTTGTCCTGTTATTGTATGGCACTGCGAGGCCAGGCCTCGTGATCGAGGAACGTGTTGCCAACGAGATGCCTATCTTATTCGTCTCACCTCAGCAGTCCCTCAGCTTCCCAGCTGCCGAGTACCTCAGGGAACAAGTCATGTCCTGGTGAGCGATTGCTTTTTGTTGAATCAAATACCATATCCAAATTGTTTAACGCTACATAAAAAAGGCTTTTCGTTAAAAATTCTCTCGATTCGTTTATTTTTTCCAAAGATGAAAAGGTTCGATTTAGTGGTATCGATTTAGTGGTTTTGTTTATAAGAAGATTTTGTAAAAGTTTTCATTAATGGTAAATTTAGAAAGGATTAAAGTTTGCTAGATCTATCTTTCTTTATATTAATGGAGCGATTCATCAAAATGTTTTGTAAACCAAAGCTTTTTATTGAATTTTTTAACAAATCTGTAGTGATGTTACAACAAATCGAACTCAATATTTATTCCGAAAAATAAAATTATTTATTACAGTTTCGAATGTAAGAGCAGAATAAATAACATGGTTAGAAGAATAATTTAATGTCTATAATGACAATATTTCGCTTATATTTTCCAGCTGCGACATAATGAAGGACGCAAGCTTGGTGGTGATAGATGGGCGTAACGTGACGGGCATTGATACAACGGTAGCGAAGAATCTGTCGTTGCTTCTCTCCGATCTGGAATCACGCAAGCTTAAGTTACTCTTTTGGAATTGGTGTGAGGATACGCGAAAGACCCTCGTCGCTTTCGACTCGTCGATGGGGGCGCACTTTCGCAACTCTTCCTCCATCACACAGCTCGTATCTGGTGAGTTCCGACCCCCTATCTCTTTCCTTTCTCTTTCTCGTCCTAAAAGCTCCTACTAATTGCATCTCTCAAACTTCCGTTTTAAGCTCGCTAGCCGAGAGTTTTATCCTGGTTTTGTTTTGGTTTTTTATTTGTTTTTCGGAAAGCTTACTTGCTTATCGTAATACAGAATCGACGGGTTCATGTGATATTCCTCAGTGCGTACAACTTGTCAGAAAATTGAAACAGAGTTAAAGTTTCATTCGTCAGTCCGCGTAAAGTTTTTGGGAATTAATACTGGTGTGCCAGAGCATCCAATGTAAATGCGTTAATTCGGACTACTGCACAAATCCGAACTGCAAAGTAACACTGCCTGCAGCTGACGGCAATGTGCTTCTTTCTCGTACATTTTATTTAAAATTTCCACTTCTAATTTTATTTTTAATTTTTGAAAATACAGACCGTGCATTTGATTTTTGCGACTGAAGGCTATTTCAAATTCACTTTTAATCGTGAGTGACAATGTCGCATGAGCTGCACATGAATAAGATTGCTGCGGAAAATGAAAATATTTCAATCATCAGACATACATTTACGTTTGATGTAAAATGAGAATTCAAATAATATAAAATCGGTCGTATCTGAAAATAAAGTTATGGCAGGTTGATTCACTGCCAGGTTCCGAGAAGCAAGAATAAAAGAAAACGCTTATAAAGAAACGTTATAAAAGTAGAGGGCACATTTGCTTTATTAATCGTTGTTCGTCCTGACAGTTCAGCTTTATGTAGCCTCGACGATATGAATTATGGATATGCAGAAAAGATACTTCGCTCGTATGAAAACGCCGTACGTCCCACGTCTCTAGCTATATAAAAACTAAACCACCCGGATATTACAAGTTTTGTTAAAAACCTGTGAATGTACGTTGAACAGTTGGCCTTGATCGACTAATCAGTATAGATTTGAAAGCCAAAGCGAGTTAAGCTATTGGCATGCGAACTAGAACAAGAGGTCAATCAAGAAGAGGCAGCAGCATTTAGCGAATTAGCAGTCGTTTCTCGACCGCGTAGTGGATTTTCATTCAAGAGCCGCATACATACAGACAGCGACGCACACGTGAAATCGATCGAGGGAGCGTTATCGGAGTCTCTCTCTCTCTCTTTCTCTCACTCACTCACTCACTCGTAAAACGTGGGTTTACGGACGTTCATTACAGGTCGAAACGCAAAGCTCGCGGGATAGCCTTGGCATCGTGGCACGTAACTCAAGCTATGCCAGTGTTCGGAAGAGCGGCATTCGCTTGTGAGAGCTATATATCCCCTCGAGTCTCGCGCGCTTCGGGGAGTATCGGCGGCACAGTTCTGCCAGCTTACGCTTGCCGTGTAACCTAAAGCTCCGCGCGAGGAGCACACCAAGAGTTTATACACACACGTAAGGCCCTCAACTTTATTAAACTCTACTCCCTCACCGCATTATGCCCTGCTAAGCTGCTGGGCTTTAATTAGCCGAACCTACCGCCGTGGTTTTCGGCGCGTCATATAAACCGACGCGCATAAACGGTCTGCGCCTCTTACCCTACATCCTGTCAAGTTTATCATCATTGTGATGTACTTTGTGGCTTGTTTGCACGGATTTAATTAATGTTTGCTCAACTGACGTTACTAAATTCCAATTGAATTTCTTCACTCTTGTTTGTACAACTATTACTTCGTATACCTATGCAATCGTCAATATTTGTCAGAGCGATTGTTCTCGTATAAAAGCTTTTTTGGCGCTTTAAAAACAATACACGAATGAACGAGTACACGGCAATCGACCGGGTGCCGTCAATATTTTGGCTGACTTCACAAAATATCAATTATTCGTTGCGTGCACCATCAAAAGCAATACTTTCACAATCATTCATACCAGCAACAAAATCGTCGATAGTCGAGTTTATACCCTTCGAAAAGAGCAGCTAAAATATTGCGTTACACATGTCCATTCGTATAGCAATTTCATGTTCATGGCAACTAACTATTCTCTTCGACCACTTTCGCTAAGCAATATAGATGTGCTCACGTCGCCCAGTCTCTCTCCCTCTGCGAGAGAACCTCCTTAATACAAAAGTGTCACCTGTATATTGCGCATTGCGTGTTCGCAATGACGAAAGTTTTAATTACAATTAGCTTTCTCATACGACATTCGAGTTTCCCGTAAAAGCTTTTATCTCTCTTTCAAGCGACTCTTTTCATTTACGAAAGAGGTGATGAAGAAAAAGGTCAAAATAGGATTATTTACGTTTGCGTTTTCATATTGAAAGAAAGAAAAAATGGTCAAGACAAAAGTACAATAAAAAGTAAAAAAGATATGAAAACAGGAATACAAGAATAAACAATCTAAAAGAAATAAAACGTAAAGTTATCGATACATATATAAAAATGTAACATTTAGGAATGAAAGCAAAGTTACATGAATTGCGCTGCATCGGACAAAGGGGGGAGAAAGGGAGCAAACTGAAAAAGCAAAGTTCAAAATAACAAGAGGTATCCCGCAGATGTAAAAGTCTCTAAACGGAAAATCCCGAAATAAATTCGAGAGAAAAGAAAAGTTTGGAAAAATCGAGGATAAGAGTCAAAATAGTTTAGAGAAAAAGAGAGAGAGAGAGAGAGAGAGAGAGAGAGAGAGAGAGAGAGAGAGAGAGAGAGAGAGACGGTAAAACTCAGAGTGAGGGAGAAAATTTGTTGAGAGAAGCAGCTGTCTGCAGCTGTGTCTCCGTTGGAGTGCGCCAACACCTGCCAAGATTTACACTCCTGAGTAGTGCATTGAATTTACGGGCAAAAGGCTCTATCGAAATCACGATAACTCTCTCGTATAGAGTACGCTCCCTTCCGTGTCAAGTAAAATGTATAATTTCAGAGTAATGGCTTTCACTCGCTGGATTATATAACATGTCACTTGCAAAAAAGGCAAATCGTTCTTTATGTACGTTTCGCCGAATCTCAGGGTAATTTCGACGTCTAACAGCCAATTAGCAACAAATAAATATTAACACGTAGGTAACGCGATGTGAAATTAAATATTTAATTAATTTTCGTATGAATCTGACCGACGATTATCATTTCTCAAAATTACGTTATCGCAATCTCGTTGATTATTACACTCGCGCTATCTATCCAATTAATACTATTCATTCTAATTATTCATGAAGCATATTTTTTACTTATCAGATGTAGCACTGTAACGAATGCTCTGCACATTCGAAATCTTCAAATGCGGGCCACAATACATCAGCATGTTCCGTACCAACACATAATTACGTATATAACATATTCAGATGATATAAGTAAATCCCAAAATAAAATATACATCTTAGGATCCTAGAATGGAAAAAACCTACGTAAACTAATATATATAACATTTTTAACACATCTCTGGAAATAATTTTGGATATTCCTTAATACACTTAATAAATAAAACAATATCGTATGCCGATCAGTTTAACCAACTAATAATATACATATTCTTGTTTTCTTTCAATCCTTAAGACAGCCTAACGTCATTTTCAAAACTTGTAATATATGTTTTCGATGTATGTTTTCAAATAAAACGCGATGGTGATATTGGCTTTACGATAGAATCTATACCGAAACATCTAGAAGCAAAAAATTACTGATGAGCAACTAAAAAATTTGGTTCACATAGTGAACACGAAGTTGCTACGAAATATTCTAATGTTCATGAGTAAACTCTGTCGCTATGTATTTTCACTAAGAAGAGGAAAAAAAATTGCGAACGCGCTAATCACACATTATATTCTATCCGTGATCCGTGGATCCGTTTATAATAAATGTACAATATTTTAATGTACTTTCTACGAAAAGAGACATCTAGTATCCTCATAACAATAGCAATGAGTAAATAATAATATACTTGTTTCTATTGCAGATGAAATGGAAACATCTGAAGCGCCACGGGAGGAATCCATGGCTTGAAGATGCTACACACACAGTTATGAAGAAATATATAACTTTATGTGGAAACAGCGACAAGTCTTGCAATCACGTCGGACCATTGAGACGATTACAATTGGCAGAATTTTCTCACTGCCGTAGCTACTTGCGCTCGAGTTTTTTCTTTTTTTTATTTTATCTCAAAACTTTGTTTCTCCCTTCCGTATCGGAGAAAAGTAAATCCCTTTGGCTCTTGTTGAGATAGCGGAATGTCGGTCTGCCTTATATAGTTAATTATATAGAATTCGAGTCGAATGATCTGTGCGCGTTCGCAGAGTGTGAGTGTTTATAACTAGATGAGAAAATGTAAAAGCGGTCGATAATAGAAATTTATTTTGGGAAAAAGATTAGTGGAGTTTTACGATTTTTCTCAATTATGTGTAAAAACTATTGTTTTTCTAATACATTGCCGTGTCATGTTTTAGAAATCTTTGGAAAGTCTTTCAGTTAATTTATAGAAGAGGTTTAATTTAGTGATAGATAAAAATATTTATTTGTATTGAGAAATACTTTTACTACGATATTTGACGTAGAGTACTTTTTGTACAGCTTTCTGTATGCATACTTTAATTTTAGTAATCACGAACGATGTGTTTAATATGAATTCTTACACCATATGTATAATATATTATAAGGAGTTTAATTCCACTAAATATAAGTATTTTATAATAAGTATTTTGAATAAAGTCTCGTTAAACGCATGTCGGAAATTTAAACGTCAATGCAGACATTTTTTATTTTTGTAAATTTTATAAAGGAGAGTAGGTGAATACCTATGACGTCATATATCTATATGAATATACAAGAATTAATAAATTGTACCTTCTTTCTATATCAGAAATTTTCAAATTGTTACTTCCATCACTCATACCCGTATAAAAATTGGATCGAAATGATATACGTTTACGATAGTAAGCATGTATGATTTCTATTACTGTTTATTAAGCACGTGTGCATCGGATATATCCATAAACTAAAACTATACGCCTGTTTGAAACGTATATGACTTCATTTAATTAAAAGTCATCGATATAATTGGAAATAGATCAATAATTTTCCACTAGCCGGAGTTGCGTGCATCGACACATACAGTCTACTTTTGCAATTATGGTTGCACATCTCGTTGATAACCGTACAGTGACGTTTCATGACGTACTGTCATTTGCGTTTTCGTGCATAGAACTTACAGTTAAATGTATTTGTAAACAGAACAAATCCATTTGGCACGGCATCACAGCGAAAAAGAGAATGCAAGCAGTAAAACGTAGTACTAATGATCTCATTGGGAAGCATCAGTGATGCAATAGGAACGGCAACTTGGCTATATAAGAGAAGCCGAAGCGCTGGCTGTGGCAGGAGCTAAAGAAAAGCTCGTGAGCGCGATCAGTAGGTTGGCCGTCGAGCGCGAAGCTGCGAGCCATTGTCGTAAAAGTAAATAGAGAGCCTCGCAAGTTCTTCTCTCGGCTTGCGCGTCGGCTAGCACACGCGCGTACGCTTCGTGATACAAAACGTTGCATAGAAATATCAGGCGCCGACGTTGCTTACCCTCGCGGTATCTCCGCCAAGGGAGCGCGCGTACGTGACCTGTGCGTGTGCCGGCTATTCAATTGCTTACAGCCTCCCTTGGCGCTCGAAACGCAGAGTAAACGTGTGCCGACACTTTTGTGAGCGCTCTCCTCAATAATTTCTCAGAAACTTTTGGCTTCATACGTGGATTGGAAAGCTCGTGTTCGCTTTTTACCATTTGTTACCTTGGTATTGGACATAGCCGTCGCGCCCAACGCTCTTTCAGTAGTTTCATCTGCGGGGCGTGTTTGCTATTTGGCGACCAGTGCTGTGTGCTCACTTCAGCTCGGCGAGTAATAATACTCAAAAGTCGAGAAAAAAGAAACATTCCGGCAGCGCTCTCGTGCTTGATATTTATCATCGAACCTATACGCATAGCTTCAAAAGTTGCGAGCGCAGCTACGTATACGCGCAGCTACGCTTATACGAGACCGCTCAATAACAAATATCTATTTCATCTGTATTGTACGCGTATCTGCTGTATATCCATATATATCATGCGACCATTCTATCTCTAGGTCTATAACCATTCAAAGAGAACATACAGCAAGACCTGGACACGTAGAAAGCATTATTTGATATCATATTTTTAATTTTTAATTCTCTGTACGAAAAATATTCCTAAAATGCTGAAATCAAGAAGAATTCGAATAATATTATATCTTTAGCTGAAGTATTTTTAATAAAAATTGTTCCCAACAAAGGCTGGTTTGTTTCTGTAAACCTTGGGGAATGTTATACTATGAAAAGAGGAGAATTTGAAAATATTTTAATATCTATTTGAAAATGCCGGAATCATATTTATTCCGGTCAAAGTATTTGATAGAAATTTAGCTTCATTTTTTCAATTGAGAATGCAACGTTTATTCAGTTGAATAATCTGTGAGATTAAAAATAATAATCTCTCTTTTTACCTCGATTCAACGAAGTAGACAGTTCAAAAATGACAGTAAATGAATCCTACTTGGCCGGCGGGCAGCAAAATTTTCACATTAGAAAGCTAAAAACAGACGCCATAAAAATAATCATAGTAACAGCCTCCTAAGGCCAAGAAATCTCATCTCCATGCAAAAATTCTTTGAGCCGCTAGTCTGGCAGTTTCAGCGAAGTGCATCGGCAAATTATGCAAGCCAGCGCGTGGCGGTTGAAAAAGGCTGCATCGTTGGGGGGAAAAAAACTGCAAGCTTCGCCAGCGGCAGCTCGACAAATCGCGCTTTCAATAACAGACCACTGACGAATGGACCTCGTCCCTCTTCCCGCTTGAGCCCAACTTTCCGTTGGAGCGCTCGAGCCATTGCTCTCACGTTAGCGGACTTATTTGCCGGATAAATACGACTTTTCTCGACGCGAACGCTCTTTTCCTCTCTTTTCTTTCTTGTTATTTGCGCGCACGCGAGAGTTAGCGATTGAAAGGAGCGTTTGCAGCGATTGTCAGAGAGCCGTTTATTTAAATTGCTTCTTCCGCTCAGGCGGCTGCGAGCAGCAAATTTAAAAGTTTCGAATTCACGGAAGATAGTGCTTTAATTAAAGTCACTGATGGCTTCATTTTTCACTCGTACTTTGCGGCCGCGTTATATATCATTTGCTCTTTACAAGGGAGGCGGCGCAAAAACTCCGCTCGCAATTTACGTAACGAGAGCTTGTTATTTTTATTCAACTCAGCGACTGCGTGCGTAACTCAAGCTCCGTTCCCTTTGCTGCTTGTTACAGATGAACTTGTTATTTCCCTCCTATCTGGCAAGCGTTTGAATCGAGGTGCACTTTTCAAAAGAAACGTACAGGCGTGATGTATGAGTCGACGGCTCTTCGAGAGGTGCAATTTTCTACAAATTCAGTTTGCCGAAAATCCGATAACCCGTGAGCATTCGACAGATTCGAGCTTGCAAGTGCAAATTCTTGAACTTTCCATGTCATTGCATCCCGTTCAATTTTCACTCCGTTTCGCTGCGAGCCGACGTACTATTTGGATTGTGCTGCATCAACATTTTTCCTGCTTTGAGCGCACCCTCACAAGTGCGCGACCGATTTGCGGAAATCCTTACGGCATTTCAGTGACCGCTGCTTTTTTGAATAATGAAGCGCACCGTGCTTTGTACGGACTTACTAATCGATTGCCATGTAACTTCTGATATTTGATACTTTCTTTGGTATAACTGATCTTAAATTATTTTAAATGAGTGGAAGTTCCCGAAAAAGCTTGAAAATTGTCCAGTTTTCTGAAAAATTCAGTAGCACGAAAAGACTATCGAACAAAATTTTTTCGCTCTCCGCAAAGCGGGTACGAAGATTGTAAAATATCGCACTGAATATTCTTAAAATAGATTGCGTTATAGAAGCACTATCTAAACGTCAACATGTTTGCATTTGCAACCGAAGGGAAAAAGAGAAAATGTCAATTAATTTGCTTTTCATGTAAAATAAAACAGCAGCACGTCTGCGCACGCGTACCGATATCACGCACGTCGAGTGATATCGCTACGCGCGCGCAGATAAAAACCAAATTTTTTTACGTTATAATTCGGCTTACTCATTGTTGCGTAGCATTGCCAAGAATAAATACATAAAAATAAATATATTTCAAGCCCTATCCTTTTGAAGTCATTCAACTGTTATTGTATCATTTATTCAAAGTATCCAATTGCATTTAAGCTTGGCAATACCGTGAAGCAAAACGAATGCAAATTTGCTCTTTTTATATGATTTTGTGGAAATGAATAGTAGGATTTTGGACATACACTTGTGAATATTTACGCATGCATGAAATTCTCATTTGAGTGGGCATTTAAAGTCGTTAATATCGATGAGATCTTGCATTCGCAGTTCAATGAAAGCTTTCAATTTTTCATTCGAAAACAATTGCAATGACACGGTAATAATGAATAAACGAAACTCACTGTTAAAATTTACATAATTGAAGTGCAGCGCAAGGATCAGATCATCATCTATCGGTCCGCAGGCATGCAGATGGCCATGACGCAGGAATAGGGTGGTTGGTAAACGCGGGAGTATCGATGGAGATGTAAGGGAAAGTGGTGGTCGCAGCGCGCGAGAACGAGGCCTCTGCTCGCGGCGCTCGAGCTGCATGCGGCAAGTAGTCGAGGTGGACGTTGGAGCCGGCGCGCGCGCGGCCCGAGATCGATGGCGTATGCACGTACGTACAGAGGGCTCCGCTGGGCGCGAGGAAGGACGAGCGACGGGCGCGAAGCAAGAGTGAAAGCGCTCTCTGGTGACGGATCGATGCCGCCGCGGCGTGCCGTCTGAAAAGGGGCAGCGCTCGCGGGGCGCAGGGCGCCGGCGCCAAACGACACACCCGCATACAATGCCAGCGAGCGCGCGTCGGTGCGCGGCGGCCGTGGCTGTAGCGGCAGTTCACGTCAGTTGCCCGACTCTCTCGGCGCGCAGAGCGCAGTTTCACGCCGCGCGCACGCTACTCCACGTCCGTAACACGCTTGGCACGCGCATGTTTTGACTGTCTGCCTCGACTGCTCTCGCTGCATTTTGCTGCGCCGGACGAGGACGTGCGCCCCGGAGAGGCGTCGGCTCGAGCTTGACCACCCTGACAATGCTGCCGGCAGGCCGCGAGATCGTCGCAGCTGTGGTGCAAGCACGACAGCCGAAAAGCAGCATTGGTTACCTTACCCTCGGCGCCAGCAGTTCCAGCAGTAGCAGCAACAGCAGCACTGCAGCGCCCAGCCGATCCAACGCCGTGAGTATCGTGCAAACTTCACGAGCTTTCTATTATTTTGATTCCTGAGCTCTCTCTCTCTCTCTCTCTCTCCGCTCTATCTGTGTGCAAGTCAAGTCTCGGTTTACGTTGCGTCGAGTCAAGCGTGAATTTACCCCTCGCAGAATCGCTGATGCTGCAGGCTACTCGCGCGTTTGTTGTTGCTTGTCAGACTTCTCCCTTGTGCCCGACAGAATATGTTATTCTGGCTTTTACTTCTTGCAAGATGAACTTACTTTTTCTTACCTACTTGTCTCTTTATTTAAATGTATATATATATATATACATATTATTTTAAAGCGAATACAATAAACTATTTAGTTATCAGGTGATTTAGTACGGTACTGTTAAAATTATTTGGAAGTTCCATAGTCCTAGAAATTTTTTACTCAAGGATAATGATATGCATATCCGTTGAAATTGTCGACGTAGTATGAAAGTGTGACTCAAATGATATGTAGTTGGAAACGGTTATTATGTAAACAGTTATTTTATTGAATGGATTGGCTTGAAATTTAAAAGTCTCACTGTTGCATTATCTTTTGTAAAATATCTTTCAAATGAAATGATGTCATCCAGCTGCTGGTATAGTTATAAAAGATTCGCATATATACGTAGACAGACTTTCAAAGGGCGTTTCGCGTCGGTATTACTTACAATTAAATTTAATGCTGCGCTGTAAAAGCGGCGAAGCACGAAAAAATTTTACAGCTCTTTCAGGATAAAAGCACTTCGGTCTCCCGTTTTTTTAGAGCGACATATAAAAGCCGCTTTTTGAAAAAAGATATGCTTATATATAGCACAATACTCGAAGCTAGACTATGTGAAATACTTTACTTAAGAATGTGAAAAAGTTTACCAATATAATAATAATAATTTTTTTTTAAGAGCAGTGTTTTTCGTTATTAGAGATATCCTGTATCGTAAAATAACTGTTGAATCTATGAAAAAAGGTGTTTTATCAACTTACATATAAGTGCATTTGCTGAAATATCAGGGTATACGAGTACATGCTGAAAAAGTTGTTATCTATTCTTTGCATTGATAAATAGCTAGACATAATATAGCTTAACGAGTTTTAGACTATGCAGTTGTTATGAACGTTCCGAATAAATTAATATTAATACTAAATTGTCATTTAGCAAACACCAACCTGTTAAGCCAATAAAATTTTTATCCCGCAGTCATAATTATGATTTTATCTTAGAAATGAAGTCTATAATACTGAAAAAATCGTGATTCAAATAGAGTAATCACTATTTAAACAACATTAATAGATTATTTAAAAAAAAACTACAACTACACATTATTTGTAATCATTTGTAAAATCGATAGGTATCAAATTACTGTTGCACATTCAAGTTGCAATGGGTAAATATCAGTTCAATTTTAACAGCCACTACTGTTCATTTAAGCACGCGACTTGTCTGAAATTCTATAAAATTGAATTCTCCAGAGAGGTATTAAAAGCGAGCCTTTATCTGTGTATGCGGGCACTTTATGATAATCCAGTTCGTATGATTACGTTCGTCAATCAGATTAGCTGTCCGCAGAATAAAGTAATTAAATGGACGTCGAACTACAATGTCGCGTGAGAACCACATTTTTTTTACTACTTGTGACCCGTTCATTATTTCACGCAAATGAGCCTTCAACGAGATAACGGTATATTATATCCTTTGCATATGCGCAACATCAAATACTTGTGAAAGATTTGAAATTTACCAAGCTTCATGCATATTTCGTACTCTCGTGGTGCACATTTTGTTTTATGGACTGTTCTATTATTTGTATTTATGACCGCACATTATCAATAACTCGCCGAAACTGTGATGGATGATTTTATAATTGATGTTGGGCATATTAATGGCCATTGCAATATACGTCAATCGATACATAGGATTATAATTTGGAAATTATCAGCTGTTATGAGCAGCATAAAAAGTACGAATGCACTAGTTGCGAATATTTATCAACCGAACTTTATCAACGTAATGTTGATGTTGGAAAAAACTGGTTTCTTGTTGAAAGTCAGTGGAGCGAGTATAAATATTTAACCAACTATTTTTGAGAGCTGAGAAATGAAGTAAGATAACCATATTTGAAATGCTGATTGGTCACTTTTTCAAAAAGATTTTATACATTGAGTATCTCGTTTCAATACCAAATTCATCACGTCAATTTTGCGTTTGAAAATCCAACGCGTAATGTATTCAAATTCAAATACGAAAAAAAAACTCGCAAGAGATTTTCTCTGCAACGATAAAGGAATCTCATCATTTTTTTCCGCCTACGAAACGACGGACGAAAGTTTCATAAAAATACGGTTGGAAAGATCGAAATTCCATTAAAAATCTTCAGCCAAAGGCAACACGTGTGCGCGCGCGCGCGTGTGCTGCTAGTGGCTCGTGGCAAACCACTCATGTCGCCCTCGTGAAAAGCGAAACTTGTCGCCAATACACCAGAAAAAGAGAAAAGAGAGGTCTCGGCAAAAAGAGAAGCCCACTTGGCAACATAAAGCAAGAAAGATTGCCCCTTCGATGCAATTCTCGCGCGCGCAATGCAATTAAAGGTGCAGCATGGCCGCAGGCGCTGAAGCTCTCTTTGGCAGTACCTCTCTTACATCGACGTCGACGGTGCGCGGCAGCTCGTTAATTGCTGCATCTGCGACCCGCTGCACATCCACCGGTCGTCGTCGTTCACTCGTTACCACGTATCGCACACTGCAAACGCATCTTGCATTTATTTCAGACGTGTCACTTTCGCAAAGCCAGCCTATCAGCTTTCTTTTCTGATTCTGTTCGTTGAAATACTTTTTTTAAAGTGCATTTTTTCCCTTATTATCAATTCGTTTTCCACGACGCGAGTGCAATTTTATTATTGCGAGAAACAGCAGGTGTGAGCGGTAGGTGTGAAAAATTGGCTTATAAGAATTTCAACATTTTTTCAGTGCATTATGCTCGTATTATTTTTATTATATACTTTGATTATATCTTCCCTATTGTATTAAAAATGTAGGTTATGATCTTATTTCTTTTTCAAAACGATATGGCAATTAACGTTTAATAGCAATGGATTGGTCAGTTGCTGTCGTGTTTCGTATAATATACGCAGATGTTTGGAAAGTGAGTTTTTTTTTTTTTTTTTGAGGTTATCAAGAGCTCGTCATAAAACAAAAAAAGTACTTTGCTGCGCACAAATGACTGGAGAAGCGTTATAATAAGTGGATCTGCGAGTCTCGCAAGGGATGTCCGATAGTCAAGGTACGCATAGTTGGCGTGAATGATTGTAAGGGTATTATTGGCCGAAAACGCCACGTGGTGATCGATAAATAAAGTTCGCTGCGCTCTCGAGTGTTTGTTGTTTCTAAGTAAGTTATTGATAAGTTTCCTATTTTAACGTTTTATTTTTTGGCAACACTTAATTAACCTCGTTATTTTCCAATTGATATTGTATTTACAATAATATATTTCCATTTTTACAATTAACGAATACTTACAGTAACAGTGTATTTGATAATGACGCGTTCTATTCGCGTGTCTATCAAAATAACAATGTCAAAGATGTAGAAGTTCATTCAGATAATTCGATGTCGAAGCTTTCCAATCCAGCAATAGCTTATTGTAATATTGCTTCAACATTTTATTCATACGGTTGCGACGGACGGAATCCATTCTTAGTTTATAATTGAAAATTCTCTCGCAGAATGGTATTGTTTGAATTAGAATTGGCTTTTATTACATTTTCAAATAAGAAGAATAGCTATAGATAATAAATACTTAATTTTTTTCATATACTATAAGTTTTAATTATTAATGGAACGAAAAGTGTTAATTTGACTATAGTAACACAACAAGATATTTTGTTAGTTGAATTACAAACATTGTTACGGCGTTTCGTATATTTCAACGTTATGGAAAAATTTTACAATCGTAACTCTATCTCGGCGATGAAATAATGGCGAATACACAATTAACCAGACCACGTGAATTGAATTTCAAATAGACAATCATCGGAAAATCGAAATATTGAAATTTAAATGTATTATTTCGACATTGAACAATGCCAGTTTGATAGATTTAAAAAATATATACCTGTAGCTTGTCGACATATTAACTTAATTTCATTTTCATAATTCTGACTTGTGTTACGTCAAGGAAAGAAAATTCGTGACTTGAATGAAATTGATTTCAAATATACTTCAATAAAATATTGAAATAATGAAATATAATACAATAGAGTTCATTTTAGTTTACACATGGGCATATACCAAATACTAAATTCTTTTAATATCGAGTAATTCTGTAACTCGATAAATTAATATAATACATATTTTTACTAAAATTCAGTAGAATAGTGAAGAATAGATCGAAACCGTGGTGAGAAAAGAAAAAAAGAAAAGAAAATTCGAGACGGAAAAGTTGCACTGACTCTTCAAAGCGTTCGACTTGTCGTCTGTAAAGCGTGCAATTGCCAAAAGCGATAGTAGCTTCAAAAGCGAATATCCTGAGGCCACGTAAACCACGAGCTTTTGTGTACATGTATGTGTGTGTGTGAGTGCACGCGCGGGTCGAGTAAAAAAGTCGACACCGAGAAAAACAGAAATGAGGTCTAACATCGCCAGTATGCTGACCTCCCTTTCTCCCCTTTTCACGGTACACTGTCCGACTGACGCTAGCCTGGCTCGTTTCACTGCGGACTCCATATGTCTCTCGAAACCGCCGCTACCCCTTCGCATTTATCAGGTTCCCCGCGCTGTTTTGTCTTATTTTTTGTTATTCCATCTTCGTGCTCGCTACCTATATCGCCGAATGTCACTCGATCCGTGTGTTAATGTTTGCTTGTGGGTACACTATCGATTTTTCGACTTTTCACGAGATTTCTTTTTAAACATTCTTTCAGTCGCTGGCAGAATATCGTTGGCGAGTTAAGCTGCAACGATTTCCCGAATTCTACCTCGAGGCAAAGTCTTTTGTGCAGCG